TATCACTAACATTATTCCAGGCACCTCTTGCACCGTTATAAAGAGAGAGCTGTAAAAGGTTGCTAAATTGCCCTGCCAATCAGATACATCATTGTTACATGCTCGTCGATATTGATGGAATGGGTTTTGACCCGCTCAACCAGCGTAAGAGTATTACGTCTACTTGTCGAAATTCACCATACATATCGCACAGACACACACAGCTGGTACAAACACATCGGTATATCGCGCGTCGATACTGTACAACAAATCGCACATACAATAGCGCTTGCTTTTCCAGCACAGATGAGAATGTTTGTTCACGTTCTATCTTCTTCGCGCACGCACGGCGTGCGGGGTGGTTTGCATGCTCATTACACTCCCAAAATGCACCGAGCGTTTATAAGCTCACCCAAAGCACACCTTTATATGATGTTCATTGGTAGAAAGCCCCAAAATACCGGTGTTTAGCTCAATGCAGACTTTCACGAGACAAAATAAACCTATCAATTCCGCGTGCAGCAAGAAGTAATGGCAAAATCGACGCTTTCTCGCTCCTAGTGGCAATACGCCCAAACGCGCATCGTTTGCCTGCAACAGAGCAAAGCACACGTTTTCATTGCATTGACATCGATAATGGTCCTGCTTCTACACGCATAAAGCTTTTTGGTCGGACGATACGACACCATCGTCAGCTTCTGCGTAAGGCGTCACTTCTGAACCCAGATCATTAGCTCCCCTAGCTTCCTGATCTGCTGCCAGCCACTGTTCTCAAGGTAGTTACAGAGATGGCTGTTCCATGACTTGACTACCAGTGAACACCCATGCAATGCTCCAGGAACGCGCTCCAAAAGTCACTGGACAATTTCGAGCCAAGCAAACCCGCACACGGGCACCAACTGGAACGTGCGGCATTTTGGAAATTCAGACAACAGGTACACTGTCGTTGCAAAGTCCCTCGACTTCCGGAACATCCGTGTGATGGCACTGCGCGTGCATCGTAAAGAGCGATGTCGACGAAGCCATTTCACGACTTCATGTTGGTTGCTCTTCGCCGCGTGGTTAATGGCCACCGTTGAACAGCCATCGGATCGATTCGCATGTAGCCACTTTACCACTTCAGATGTCCCTGTGTAGCAGCACCATCCATTGCTTGCTTTGAACACCATCCAGAGCGATGGTCGTGGAGCCACTTGACCATGTCAAGGTCGCCATTAAAGGCAGCTACATCCATGGCTTTTCTCCTGCATCCTTTACCTACTCCAAAGCCGTTTGCATGCAGCTATTGGAGCACTTTCAGCTGACCACACCCAGCGACACGATTCAGTATCCCCACAAGATCAAAGTTCTCTTGTCGATTCTCACTTAGCCACAGTACCACGTCCGAATGGCTGTTCATTGCGGCTTTTACCATCGTCGGGTCGGAGCAACCTTCGTTCCGGTTTGCATGGAGCCACTTGATGATACCGAGGTGGCCGTGCTCGGCAGCACCGTCCATTGCAAGACGACTATATCCTTCCGCGCGGTTTTTGTGAAGCCACTGGACCACGCGCAAGTGGCCACGACTCGCAGCTCGGTCCATAGCTTGTTTCGTGCACTTGGTTGTGGTGTGCCAGTGGAGCCACTGCACAATTTCAAGCAATTCCGCTTCAGCCGCAGCATTGATAGGGAAGAGACATGGGGCGCCGGCACTCTGTTCTTAAACAGGTACTTTAGCATGTCTAGCTAACCACTTTGAGCAGCTTTGATGTACCCAGTACCAGCGTTTGTGAGCCCCTTCTCTTCGTGCAGTCACTTGACAAGGTGCAAGTGACCTCCCAAAATCGCATGTTCAGAAACGAGCACAGGATCGATCGGACGATCACGGTCAAAAATAAGCTCAAGCATAGTCAGGTTGCCGAATCTTGCTGCACTTGTATAGATCGAATCATAACGCAATGCAGCGTCCAGATCAGCCGATCGCCCGTTGTCGAAAATCCATTGTACAATTTCCCACTCGTTGTAAGGTGCCGCTGTCTTCGCTGCACTATCAAGAGCAACGTCAGAGCTCTCATGCAGCCACTGTACAATCTCCAAGTTTACGGATGCTACTGCTGTGCTGTCAGTCAGCTGTTCACACGTACCCTGCAATACAACGTGATCCTTGAGCCACTCGACTAGCCGAAACTGTCGATTTACGATCGCTTTGCACAATTCGATCCCACCCCAGCAGTCCATAACATGGTGCTGTTATCACAACCACTGTACAATGCGTATGTGCCCATTTGCAGAGGCTTGTGCAACAGCTTCTACTAACACCTCGCTCGGTAGGTAGCTCTGTGCGATCCACTTTAGACTTTGTAGATCGCCACGTGTTGCCATTTGACTTGTTACGATGTCGACTTCCCAGCGACGGAGGAACGGGCCCATTGTTGTTGACTCATGAGCGGTCAAGTACTGAAGTAAACGCAGACTGCCAATGAGCACTTCTACCCCTTCGCTAACGTCAGTGAATCGAACGGCGTATCTAGAAAGGAATCGATCAGTTGAAGTACGGCATCACCGCCTCTTTCGTGAAGACATTCTCGATACACAAAACTGACAATTGTAGGAACTGGGAATGTCCGCCACTCGCTTGTGACGATGGGATGACCGTCCATCGAAGACAGCTTTGACTGTGTCTCCTGACACATTGAAGTGATACTGAGAACGTAGCGTTCTCTCACTTTTGCTGCCTCTTGCTATGTCCAGAACGACTCGTCAATGTTTACGTATTTGCTCCAGACTGGAGTTTGCATCGCGGGTGGGGCCTTTTCTCCAGAAATGGTTCGATGTACGTTGCACGCTAGAATGCTGGGACAGACGCAAGCAGTGTAAAGACAACGGTCGTCAACGGGCTTACATCCTTACTACATCATGTCAATCAGAAAGAGTACGACGACCTTGTCGTGTCCGTTGCAATGTATGAAAATGCAACGAGCTAGTTGACATTAGTCTCACAGCCCTCCACAAAAGCCACGGCCCGTCGACCTGGAATTCAAAAAGTCTACGATTGCCTTACGGATCGAAGGTCTACAGCACTAATACGACATAGCAGCCACGTCCCGCAAAAGTCTAGCTGAAGCAACATCACCGACCTATAAGCCGTGCTTCGGTTATACGCTGTCGCAGTCGATCTACCGATTGGATAAAGGAGTCGCAGGGCAATGTAGTCACTTGCTCGCTCGGAATATGGGTAGCTCGATCTAAGAAGATGAAGTGATGTTATTGGCGACGGTCTTGTGGACCTCGTTACGGTATGTACCTTCCTGCTTCTGAACACGCTTTATAGACCCCATGGGCCGATCAGCGAATCGATAATCACAAGTATCGTAGTAAGATGGACAGCGCGGGTCTGCTTGTCAACGGCTACCGCTCATGGACAGTCTTCTGCTATGCTATAGTTCTTTTCTTTGGCCAACAGTTGTTATAATCTAACGATGAATGGGATCAAATCTAAGACGTGACAGCAGAAAGCATCGATGGCTTTATCCAGCGAAATTCATTGCGCCAATTTCGATATTTAAACGCTAAATGAGCGAGCGCGAAAAGAATACCGGTATTGAGCCTTGTCATGCTAAATGAAAATTGTTTGATTGGTCAATGTCCATATTCTTAACGCTCGCTTGTTCACAGTACCGCTTATTGCCACATGGAAAGATAGTACATGTGGCAAAGTATCAACGTGCTATCATGAAAATCTAGCTGTTTCGGCATCAGGCTGTTGCTTTCATAGATGCAGAGCACTACAACGACAACTTTGCGGCAGCGATACTTCTTGCCACGAATCAGTACACTTGCACCATATTTTCGAGCTGTCATGTCATACCATCTGTAACGCGTCCGATCACAAGTCACGAACTCGAAGTACGTCCCGGACAGAGGTGTGAAGCTGTAGCACGAGACCACATTGTGGATAGCACTTTGACTATGCCCGGCCAGTGCGGCTGCATCTCGAAATGAGTAGATGTCGCGGCTATCAGTTCGACATACTGCTGACTCACGAACTGTCGTATATCTGCTGTCTCAGCATTATAAAGTAACAGCAAAAAACGGCGATCGTATTCATCGACCGTTGCGTTCGTTGTAGTAACTGATCTCACACAGGAACGACGACGTACACTCACTGCGTTCGCTGTAGTAACTGATCTCACACAGGAACGACGCACAACTCACACACAAACCTTTGGTTACATTTCAAGTATGTGAAGCTGATATGTAGATCACGATCAAAGTGTCGGACGGCATCTTGCACAGCTTCGTTCTCCGTTGTGGCAGTGCATGTGCTCATTCCTTGTTCTTTGGAAGCCAAGCGATGAGAAACGGGGCGTAGCCTAGCAGCGCAGTGCTGATGTTGTTACACTCAGGCAAAAAGGTGTTCGTAAGCTCTGGCATAAAGTGGGCGCAAACGCTGGAGGATATGGGGGGGATTATGATCAGAGGAGGTTATGATTTTGTGACAGTGCGCACACCTGATGCAGTTGAGATCGCCACGTGCTCGCATCTATTCGGCTCCTATCGGACAACAAGATCTACCTTATCTTGCAAGCGACCAACCACAGACGTCACGATATAATGCTTGACTGCCGCACCACGCAGAATTGTAGACGTGCAGCTGGCACTCGGCAGGAGGCGACAACTCAAGTGCAAACGTCCTTGCTTGGTTTTCCAGTTCTTGTGCTGCCCGAGATGTGTTTTCATGAACGCATCAACAGGTCGGCCTTCATCACCGGCTCACCACAACTGTCAGTGTATGCGAATGGATACTGCCTCCTCATTCACTTCGCCAACAATCATCAGTCAGCAAAGTTTAGGAGTATTCAAGTACTCGACCGTCGCTTGCTCAGCTCACGCGCACGTCGCAAATACATCATCATCCCCTTCGTCCTTATTTAATGTACACCACACGAACACACCACACCACACACACCTCACACGCACAAAATGGCACGACGAATGTTGCACATGACATTCACTCCTATTCCGCATTCCCACGAAGCCCAATGCGCACAGCTGAGGCGCGCGCGGACGCCGTGCAAAGCAACTTGCAGGAGCACCTCGCGTGGGCCCAACAGGTACCAAACGTCTCTGCACCTAACGCGCTCAGTCGTGATCATCAGCCTCAGACTCAGCATTATCGTCCCTATCTTGTGGTGTCGTTGCGCTCACAGTGTATGTGGTTGTCTCTTGAGCGTCTGTAGGCCCCCACGGACGCGCTGCAACAGTGTCTGAACTCGCATGTCATTAGTGCCTATTTGGACCGTCGCGCAGCCTGTAAACACGCGTGAGTTGGCAGTAGTCGACCACGAGGTTTGCGACAAAAGAGCGTATATTCTATCCACTCTGCGCAGCTGGACGTGGCGTGTTGCACGAATGTAGCCATTGTGCGGAGATAGGTTCAGGGTTGGGCTGTGTGTGAGATGTACTGATTGATGGTATGTTGTGTAGCGTCGACGACCAGACAGCAGCAGACAAAGAGAATTGTCTCGAGACGATTCAGCGAGGACGTGACGCACTGCAGAAGTTCCAAGCGCTGCGGGCGCGATCAAGAGCGTCGACGAAGCTGACGGTGGTGCCGACGCCACGAATTGCTCTGGGAACGATTCCAGTCGTCACTTGTGGTCGTCGTGCGTCGAAAGTTGCTGCACAAACGACAGCCAGTCCCTCGACGGATGGCTATCGCAACGAGCATGGAAGAGTTGGAGCAGCAAGTGAGCCTCGGCCAGTGACAGACTTCGAGACTACTGCTGCCGTATCCAACGCGGTTGTGGACCTCACGCAGTCGACTGTGACAGCGCCACCGGTCGCTCGAGCTGGTCCAGGCAAGACGACGTACCAGAACAGTGGACCAGAACGACATGGAGATAGCACTAGAGTGCAGCAGATGTCGTACTCAGCAATCGACGAGGAGGATGTGGATCGTTTGTTTGGTGATGTGGACGTGGACGTGCTGGTTGCTAATCACCAGCGCGCCCAAGAACAAAGTGATCGCCGAACCGTCTCGATGACGTCGAATGAATACTTGACGCCATCTGGTTCTTCTTCGGTACCGATCGCTGCATCTCCGGAGTCTGCTACAGTCGAAGTGGCTGATGAGTTGCGTGAGTTGATTAAACGAACGCGCGAGTGTCTTCGCAAAGCTCGCGAGGAGTGCGATGACGCATCCCTGGAAGGAGACGTGCCAGAATATATGCAGCGACGTCGTGTAGCGCTGGAACAAAAGTTGGAGCTACTGAGTAAGCGGTACAGGGAGTGCAAAGGCACGGCGAACGCATCGCCGGGCAGCCAAAGTGTGCCTCCTGCTCAGCCTTTGCCCCGAAACGTGCCAGTTCCACACACGTACGACAGTAGAGCTGACGCATCGAGCAAAGCTCCAACGTGCTCGTGCGGCATGTCAACTATAGAAGCGCGGGTGCAGCACGGATCAAACGCGAATCGACTGTATTACCGTTGCAGTACGTGCGGATTCAATTCTTGGGTGGACGGTGAATGTGGGACTAGCCATGGGCGTTACAACGATGGGGAGACCCGAACTCGTTCGATCGTGGTAGAGCAGCCCTGCGTCTCTAGCGATCCAGCTGTGACTTCGAACATGCAGCGGGCGAAGCGAGTGCTCCGCGACATTTTCGGCCACAATGCGTTTCGGCCGAATCAGGAACGGACAGTCATGGAGGCGTTCAGTGGCCGAGATGTGTTCGTTTTGATGCCTACAGGAGGCGGCAAAAGCCTCTGCTTCCAATTGCCTGCGTGCATCAATGATGGCGTTACCATTGTCGTGTCTCCTTTAGTATCGCTGATCCAAGACCAAGTGCAACAGCTGGAGGCTCTTGACGTGGGTGTAGCGAACCTGAATGGCGACCAGGACTACGACAGCGTGCAACGACCAATCATCTCGCAGCTCTTCTCAAGCCGCATTACGATAAAGATGCTATACGTTACCCCGGAGAAGATCGCGTCGAGCAATCTGCTCAACAACGTGTTTGAGTCGCTCGAGAAACGCGGACTGCTGGCTCGATTCGTGATCGACGAGGCACACTGCATTAGTCAATGGGGCCACGATTTTAGGAAAGACTATATGAATCTAGGAACGTTGCGATCCAAATTCCCGTCGGTAAGTGGCTCGTGTTGGATCTTGCTGTGTGCTGCTGGCTGAACGTGGTAGCTCACACGTTGCACGATCAGGTGCCCATTATGGCGCTGACGGCTACAGCAAACACACAGACGGAGGCCGATATTGTCAAGAATTTGAAGCTGAGGAACCCGTTCATCACTCGGTCGAGCTTCAATCGGTACGCTCGTGTGTTTGACACATGGCTCGTGTACCCTTTCCTTATCGTGTTGGGTAACTGGCAGGCACAATTTGACGTACGACGTACGCAAGAAGAGCCCCAAATTCATGAGTGAGATTGCAGATTACGTTCGGAAGCACATCGATGACTCTGGGATCATCTATTGGTGCGCTTGCCGACAGATTCAGCAGATAGATGCGTACTGAACGACCATTGCTTACCGACTTGTTGTGTACCATGGTGTGACTAGCTTGTCCAAAAAGGATTGCGAACAAACAGCAGAGAAGCTGATCAAAGCGTTGGGGTTCGAGAACACGCGCAAAGCCAGTCAGATCTCGTTTTACCACGCAGGACTGGAACCAGACGACCGTGCGTTTCGCCATCACGAGTGGAGCAAAGGCAAGATCAAGCTTATTTGCGCCACTATAGCCTTCGGGATGGGGATCAACAAACCGGACGTGCGCTACGTTATTCACCACACGATTCCTCAGTCCGTGACGCACTACTACCAGGTACGGTTGTCGCCACAATAACGATGTCGTGGTTGCTAAATTGTGATATTGTGTACAGGAGGCTGGCCGAGCCGGGAGAGATGGCGAAACGGCGAACTGCATCCTCTACTATTCCTTTTTGGATTTGGTATGTTTGTTGTTTAGCTTGACTACTTTGCTGCAGTAGAACGTTGACCGAGTATTTGTGAAAACTAGACCCGACGTCGCAAACTGATTACGAAAGACCGCGAAAACGCGCAGCACCGCAACGTTCATCTGCAGAACCTTCGACGTATGACCGAGTTTTGCGAGAACCAAGTCGAATGTCGACGAACGTCTCTTCTCGAGTATTTTGGCGAGCATTTTTCGAGTGAGCAATGTCATGGAACGTGCGATAACTGCAAAAACAAGGCTTTGGGAATGACGTTTGAGAAGTCAGACGTGACTGAAGACTGCGTGTTGCTGGCCGAAATGAGTACGATTGATTGCGCTAGTCGAGGAGAGAGTAAGCTGGTCCTGATCGATGTTTGTATTTCTTCTAGTCAAAACGCTTCACGAAGCCGGCGATCCCACGACGATTGTACAAGTAGCTCAAATATTCCTCGGCCTGGTGGTGAAGGGCAAAGAATGGAAGCAAGACCAGTTCTCACAGCTCAGAGGGTTCGGTAAAGGCAAGGGCCGCTACTCGCGTAGTGAGGTGGAGCGCATACTATATCACATGATCCTGCGGCAGTATCTGCGCGAAGTGGTAGGGGGCTGTATGCTTGAGATGGGTGACCATCATCGCAATCACCTGATGTGCGATGCGACGTTCTGTGCAGGATCAAACAAACGCGAAAGGCTTCACTACGACGTTCTTGTCGCTAGGATATAACGCAAACCGACTCAATCGTGGCGAACGGGTTCGCATTGTGTGCAAGACAAAACACCAACCGCGTGCGTCTGCTAGCGACGGTATTCCGCAAGAGGGAGCCAAGACGTCCAAGAAAAAAGCACCCAAAAAGGCTGCTGCGACGAAAAAGTCAGCGACAGCAGATAAAACACGAAAGACGGCGAAGAAGCGGAGGAAAGCGCATGCGAAGGAAGCTGTTGAGGAGTTGAGTGATGACTATGACGACGACGATGCAGTGGGTGTAGTCGCGCCAACGCCAACTACGATCGAGTATCCGCTCATTCCAGAGAGCGCGTCGTCTAGGAGGTACGTGACTCTTTTCAGATTTTCACATGACACGAGCAGACTGCATGACCTGACGTGTTGTATTTGGACAACAGAATACCTGAACAACACGTTGAGACACTGGCGCGAATGCTCAAGGATTGGCGTGCGAGCGTGTGCGATAGCGAGAACGTCATGCCGTACCACATTCTCACGACTGCAGGCATTGCGTCGATTGCGAATTCGGTTCCCGTTTCGAACGCAGAGCTTCTGAAGATCGACGGTATTGGACGCATTCGCGTGAAGAAGTATGGCGAAGCGATCATCGGGATCGTCAAGAACCATCTCGAAAAGGTTTGGTCGTACCGACTTGTATCCTGTTTGGGCTACGCCTGCTTGTGATTCACACGTACCTCTCCAATGCCGATTGCAACAGCACAACCTGGTACCGACTCCAATGCCGACATCGCGCTCAAACAGCGTGCTGGACAGCATTGACGCAATGGACTCTGACGTCGAGATTGTCGAGGCGCCTCCGATTCCGAAGTCGTCCCCATTTTTTCAGGGAAAGGGAAATGCCGCAACGGCAGTGACGTCTGCCCGGCCTAGCAGCGATACAAGCTGTGCTGTGATCGACGTTGGTGACAGCCTCAACGATATCGATTGGGATGCGTGGGACGCGGACGTGTTGAGCCAAAACGCGAGTTCAGGAGCGACGAGTGCTAGTCGCAAACGGTCAATAGGCGTCTCAGGAGCGACTCAGACTACAAAAAAGCGATCTACCTGATGCCGTCTCATCATGACGTGCAAAGGTGAATCACAGCGATTGCCCAAGTTCAGTCAAAACAAACAATGGGCGTCGCGCCCAGTATTCTAAAGCACGATGTTGTCGATCAGACGGCAGTTTCCGACTTTGACAGCGACGGAAATGATGGCTCCGTCGAGTGTACCGACTTCAGCCACCTCTTGCATTGTCTCTTTGGATCCCACCGACACATAGTCGATGGCGGTCACCAGCGGTTCGCGTTCGTACGCTCGGCAAACAACCGCACGCAGCAGCTCTGCACCAACTGCTGTTTGTCCCGCTGTCTTTGCTGCCTCGAACAAGTCCCGCGCATGTACAAGGCCATGATGCAACACACCCGCTGCTTTTTGCTCTGCAGAGCTCAAGTACTGGTTGCGCGTCGAGAGCGCAAGCCCGTTTGGTTCACGTGCAATGGGCACAATGCCAATCTCCACGGGGATGTTCAAGTCCGAGACGATCCGCTTGACGAGCACGACCTGTGCCGCGTCTTTTTGGCCAAAGAACGCGTGCGTGGGCTGCACAATGTTAAACAACTTGGTGACGACTGTCGCGACACCTCGAAAGTGGCCTTTGCGGCACTGACCTTCGACCAAGTCGTCGAAGCCCTCGGGCTCGACGTAGCACCGATGATGTGGCCGGTACATTTCATGGACCGAGGGGCGGAACACAAAGTCCACGTTTGCTTGCTGCAGCCGGACCATGTCCTGGTCAAACGTACGAGGGTACTTGGAATAGTCCTCGTTTGGTCCAAATTGAGTCGGGTTGACAAAGATACTGGCAGCCACGAAGTCGCACGAGCTCCGCGCCTGCTGGATTAGCGCCATGTGTCCATCGTGGAGACCCTATTTGCACACCGATAGAGCGCAGTGGCCAGTGCAGATACTGTCAGACGATCGAATAGAAAACCGAGTAAACCCAATTGGGTTGCGAACAGAGACGTACGTACGTACCCCCATGGTCGGAACGAACCCCAACGTGGCAGCAGACGCTAACGCGCGACGCACGCGGCGGAACTGATCCACTGTCTCAATGACTTGTGTCACACTGGAGGCAAAGCATCGTCGGATGAGCGCAGACCGCTTCAGCAGCAAGCGACGGGCCGTCAGCATTACGAGTAGATCTGTATCGTCGACCGCCACTGGCTACGTCTCTCTTCATGCAGCTGTAAAAAAACTCGCGGTATTTTAGCTGTGTGAAGAACGGTATCGCAAACGTTGGAGCACTGTAAAAGTGCGGTATTTTAGCGGTGCGAAGAGCGTTATTGCAAACGTTAGAGCGCTGTAAGATAGCTGCATCTCGAATACGGCGTTTTCGCGTCGAACAAGTGGACTCGCGTTCTGTTGCTGCTGCTTTTCTGTTGGTAGAATGAACACACGTTTGATTACGGATTCTCAGCGCCCCTCTCGTCGTGATCGCTTACAAACTCAGTCTATCGTCGATGACACGCACCGGCGATCCATGTCGATGGTAGTAACGAATCTCATAACCCATAGATAGCCATTCGTCAAGGACCACATTTTCGCTGACGTGTGCAAAGGCGACATCGTGTCGATGCAACACTTGTCAGTCAATTACTTGAACGCTGCACTCAATCGTTCCATCGTCACGACGTATCACTGTGTCACCCGCACACATTTGCTCATCAGTGCGTTCTGCATGTCTGTCTACAAAAGGCTTTGCACATGTTATACTGCCGCAAGCTCTTCACCACATACAGCTCCAGCTGAATCAGCTCAATGGGTCTTCAAATTGTAGCAGACACGTGGTGCATACCGCCAATCGATCCGAATGACAGGAAAACGACAGACCGACCTCCAGCTATTGCGTTTAGTCTTGTCTTCCACGTGTTTGGTCTTTCGCGAAACCTCGAAAGCTGTAGTCACGTTCGAGTTTCGAGTGACTTGTAATGATGTATCTGCATGGATCCAGTACGCGACGCGTCTACTCTGTTGCCCCGTGCATTGTCACTGCGACCGTATCGTATCGCGACGACCGGCTGATTCAATGTGAGCTTCTTGATGGAGTTGCCGTCCGCTTCTGACGGGATGTCCAGCCAGATCGTAGGGTGTACCCATCGACTAGCGAACAAGAGTTGCAGCACTACGTCCACTGTAGATGTTCCTACTCGTAGATGCACATGCTATTGACACAGCAGCCGGAAAGTGCTGTCACACCTCGTGGAACACACTAGTAGGACGACAACGACAGTCGGCTCGACGCGATTGCAAGTAGACCATATATACTCACGTCACCGCACGAGAGTGCGCGACAAAAGCCTGCGACTTCATCGACCGCCACAACAGCGTCGAGCTTTTCGTGTCCGCCCTCACTTCCATTCAACGACAATGTACAACCGCCACTATGTACGCGACGCGCGTGCCAACAGAGACGTGTGCACTTGTCTCAACACGTGCGTGACCAGCTTTTTTTTCCCTCAAGTACAGTACGTCCATGTCCGAGCCCGTACTGGCCCCTGTTCTGTGCCCGATGGGGTCGCACCTCCCGTCCCCCTCTCTGCACACGCGACTAGTCTCTAGTGCACCATCTCTCGCTCTCTCTTCCCATCTGACGGGTCAACCAAACATCGTCGGATTGTACACGACACTTGGCCGTCGACGTTGCGCCGCTCGATCGGTTCGAGGCGACACCCATTGACCAGACCAGCGACAACGTCACGTCCAGCAATAGCTGCAGCAAAAGAGCCCAAATAGGTCCCAACACCTGCTGTGGCTCGAGAAAACTCTCGTGCACCCGCAGCTTCGCTCGTCGAACCCGATCCGCTGCGTCTTTGTCACGTCTGACACGACTTTTTTTCCGCGGTCGTTGCATCGCAGGGCACTTGTCGCATCGGCGCTCGTCTGACGGCGTCTTACGAACACACAAACCCAAGACACAAAGCCCGAGACACAAACGCGTACGTCATAAAGGGGCGCAGGAAATTTCCGCTCCCGTGACCAGAGACATCTCGCGCGCGAGACCTTATTCCAAACAAGTCGTTGCTCGTGCACGAGAGAGCGGTCGGCAACTGGTTTTGGGGGGTGTTTTGTGACAAAGGGAAACCAAAGGGGGAAACGACGCCAGGCGTCGTTTTTCACGGGCTTTCGAGTCGCGATCGCGTGTTGATTGCGAGCTCACGCACACCGATTGACTTGTTCGCGCGTGTCAGCTGTAGAACCCATGCGGGGAACTGAGCCGTCCGAGATGATCGCTGGGGAGACGAGACGAGGTCGTCACTGCACTCGATCTTCCCATCTCGACGTGAGCTTTACGTCCAGAAGAACCGAATGTTGACTTGATGGTGGGGCTCGTTTGCGTTCCTTGCTATGTAAAGCACACGACGATGGGTCACGCACGAAACGTGGATGGGACGACGGTACTGTCGCTCCCCAGTGCGCCGCGACGCGCGCCGTCTGTATTATTCACTCGTGTCGGCCGAACCCACGCGCACGTCGTGTACCCTTCAGTCGCCCCGCCCCCTTGTCCGTCCGTCCGTCGCTTCCTTCCTGCTTGAGACCGTCCTTCAAGTTGGGGGTGGTTTACATACATCTACATACCTATAGGCGCGCCACCCCGAGAGCGTCGCGATGGCTTCGTCAATGCGGGACCGTCACCGGATCAAAGTGTGCGTTCGCCTTCGCCCTTTTACTCGGACGGAAAAGCTCCGAGCCGGTGGTAAGGCCGCGTGGACGTGGTACGTGGAGACAGAGTGATGGGGGAGACGGGAACAATGCAGAGTCTGCCTCATGGACGAGCTGCTGATGACATTAGTGTGGGTGTGTCTGTGTGTGCGGCTATGTATACCTCCATGGGCACGTTTGTATGTGTGTGTGTGTAGGCACGAGAATACGCTGTATCAGCAGATATTTCCGGCCCAGATTCCTTCCCGAAGTGATCAGCAGGACGACGGTGACAGGATGCAGCAACTGAAGCGCCGGAGTGGAAACCCACCGACCGGACCGTCCATCGCTTCGAGTCGACGGGATGCGGCCGTGACGTTACCGTCGTCGTACTCGGTGGACCATTTGTATCCTCCTGCAACGCAAACACAAACGGTGTATCAAGAGACTGTCAAGGTACAGAGCTGTTGCTGTCATTGAGCGTTGAGAAGCGCTGCTGCGTGTTCGAGCACGTGTCAAGTCACTTACGGTACAGGATGTGTGTGGTGTGCGTGCTGTGGCTTTCGCGTATGTGTTTGTTCATGTTCAGGATGCTATTATGGCAGCAATGGAAGGCTATCACTCGTCTGTGTTCCTCTATGGACAAACAGGCACGGGCAAGACGTACACGATGCAGGTCGGTGATGGTTTGATGGATGTCTGACTGCTGTAGTGCTGTAACAATGCACATTGTTGGCACCAAGCCAGCGATGCCTGACAACTCGTTCTTGTGTTTTGCTTGTACTTTGATCTGTACAGGGCGGTCGAGGAGATCCAGGAATTATCCGGCTGGCCGTACAGGATATATTCGATAGCATTGCGCGGCATCCTAGCATGGAGTTCTTGCTGCGGTTCTCGTACTTGGAGATCTACAACGAACGGATTCACGACTTGCTCGCGGCAGGTGCGAAGTCAGACATTAAGATCTACGATGTGCACCATCGAGGCGCTGCAACGAGTACAAACGCTCGCGATGGGTTTGTCACCAAAGACGTGGTGATCAAAGGCTTGCGTGAAGAAATTGTGCTGTCGACCGAACACGTGCTGTCGCTCGTCGAGTTAGGCAACTTGCACCGTCACATGGCAACGACCGAGTCAAATGACCAATCGTCCAGGTCTCACGTGGTATTCCGAATGGTAAACGATCTTGCTGCATTTTTGCTCATGCCCTTTGCTTCTTGCGTGTCGATTCCGTACACTGTGAACAGCATCCACTGCCTTCGTTGAGCTTCTCAACTCGACTTTTTGCTGCTACAGAGCAGGCCAAAGCTCTCAAGAGACTGACTGACTTGTACCCTGTCTGGTGCTGCGTTTGTTTGTTGTGTAGGTGATCGAAAGTCAAGATAAGCAGAGCAGTCGAGACTGCAGCGAGGTAGCTTCTGTACGATCCGCTACCTTGAACATTGTCGATCTTGCCGGCTCTGAGAGCGTCCGACTTGCCAATACTACAGGACAGGCTCTAGAAGAAGGCAAGTATATCAACCGCAGCCTCCTCACGCTCGGACACATTATCTGGAAACTCAGTCGGGATCGCCACAGGACCGAAGCGGGCGGTAGTCGACCACCCCACACGCCGCACCTGCCGTATCGTAATTCCAAACTCACTCGAATTTTGCAGCCATCACTGGGTGGTCAAGCGCAAATTGCCATTGTGTGCACGGCATCGCCATCCGTCGAGTGCTTGGCCGAGACGCACAATACGCTGAAGTTTGCAAGCCGTGCACGAAGAGTGCGTAATCGCGTGGTCGTGAACGACGGATTAGGCGAATCGGCATTGCTGCGAAAGTACCGAGCTCGGATCCGAGAACTAGAAGACCAGCTCGAGCGCTTACAGATGCGTCGACGACCTGCTCAACTGAGCAGCTCGAGTCAATTGGCGCTAAGTGAGCAGCAGACGGAGCTCAAATACGCCATCAACAATATCAACAAGGTGATCTTGAACTCCTCACCAACACAAGAGAGACTTGACGACGAGGAGCTGGCGTCTGTAGACGACGACATGTCCGCATCAATGGCGGCGAATCCACCCACAACGGTACCAAGTCACACATCTCGACGAGGTGGTGACTCGACTGCACGCTATTTGCCGCAAAAGTCAACATCAAGGCAAGTAGCAGCAGCCAGACGGCAAGCAGAGATGGAAGGCCCGACTCCTGTGGCACAATCTAGGATAGCAACTCGTTCGTTACGTCGCCAAGCAGCTGTTCACAGCGACGAGATCATGAATGCGTTTGACCTCAAAGAAGAAGAAAAAGATGAGGTCAAGAACGAAGACCACGCCCGTCCTCGACTCGCTCGTGCTGGAAGCTCTGCAAACACATCGAACAAGACATTGATCAGTGGTGGCAGTGCAAGTACCAAGACACTACCGCTCTCTACTTCATCTTCCCGATACCTCACGGATGACAATGACAATGAACTCGCCGAAGTCAATGAAAATGACCGTAACGATGAACAAGACGATCCTGAACACGACGAGGATATCCGACATGATACCGTGACCCATCCAGGCAGTATTGACAGGTCTTCAGCGATTGAGGCAGCAAGTTCGACGCTTCCCGCTCCAGTAGCAGCTTTCGCGAGCACTACCCGCCCATCACTCACGTCGGTGCTCAAGAGCAAGTACGTGAGCGAGTTATCGGACATGGCGCGTCGTATCGGACGGTGGCAACACATGGACGAAGGTGAATGGCGCGAGCGCAAAGAGTTGCTGCATGAATTTGTACGCGGACTCGAGATCGCTCTGGCCGAACAGGAGACCCGCATGAGCAAAATTCGCGAGCTAGAGCTGGAAAATCAACGCTTGCGTCAGTCTATGGCTCCACGTGAACGCGAGCAGCTGGGTCAGCGAAAATCGGATACGACTCGGCAGACTCTTGACGCGAAGAGTTGAATTACCCGTGACCTTCGCGTGACGCGTATGGAGGAGTGTACCAGGGTATATAGAAGTGTCAAGTTACGAGACGTCGTGGCGAGGCAATAGATAGTATATAACGTGACTGGATGCAATAGACGGTAGAGGCCAAGCAGCACAAGCGAGTAGCTGACATGGCAGGAAATACAGCACTGAGTCATGCAATTGCTCGACAAACAGTGCAATGCGATTCGCACAGTATCGTTATTGGGATCATCGCACTGCTCGTTTGAGTGCTTTCCCATAGTACAATGGAACATAACGGCACTTTTCGACACTTTGTTGATACTTTGCACCACGAGACCCAACAATTCCTTTGTTTTGTTAACGGTTCATGTGCTGCGTCGCTGCACTGTGCAGAGACTATGACTTGGTTCCTCGTATTTGTTAGTGCGTTATGACGGCTGTCGATAGTATCGTTACGAGCAACTACAACATCGCATGACGCAAAGTTGTTGTTTCGTAAGCACATTCGCGCACTCTTTGTGAGTTTGAGCCTTACTGCTCGGTCGGTTTCCTACATCGTAATACAAACTTGGGATAGACATTTGCGAGCCCAACCACAGGTATGCTCGACGACGGAGCTCGATCGATACTTGCTCGTATGAGTGGCAGGTGCTTGCTCGGCTTTTGCTAGCATCATCCAAACTGAGGCAACACCTTCGTTCGTTCTTGCATGTTGTGTCCGACAAAGCTTCTAACACGGCCACTGGTGAAAGCATCTCACATCAACTGTAACATTGAACAACAAGCAAGTGGTTCCATCTACTGCACATGTGCTGCTAGCCGTCTCATTTGTTGATGGTTACGTTGGCTTGTCGTGGAAAGTCAACACTACTCGACCATTTTGCTTGTATAGATCGTACACGAACCAGCTTCTTAGCCATAAAGTAGCCATGAAGTTTACCATGCTCAGTATCCATCCACTTTGTATCGGACCTTGAACAGCCAAAGTGTCGCTGCAAAGACGTACTCGTCTCCAGATGTACTAGAAAGAAGTGCTTACTCGAGGTATTGACCAGTGCGATACTGCAGTTCTTCAAGTGCCGTAGTGGCGTGGTAGCTGTCGGCCTCGCCAATATGGACGTACCCCAAGTACGTGACTTTATAGCCAGCCATCAAAGCAGATACTGCCAAAGCACTTCTCAACTCGAGTCTCTGCAGCAACCCCATTCTCTGCTTGTTCACAATCCATCCGACGGAGCTGACGCGCCTGAAAATATATTCCAGAAACCGGTCGTAGCGACTGATGGCAAAGAGCGACTGACCGAGGATGAGGTTTCGGCGGGTGCAGTCGAAACGGCTGACACCGAGCAATCGTTGCCATAAGACCTGGTTGCAGCAGCAGTATTCGTAGTCACGCTTCCATTCGTGACGTGTGGAACGCCGTGTGGTGGTGTGTAGCCAAGTTTCGACGGCAAGTAAGCACTTTGACGCATCCGAAAAGGTACCTGCATCTTCCTTTTTGACCACGATGCGGATGGTGAGGCACATGCCCTTCCAGCATCATTACAAGCAGACTTGAGCGTATTCACATGAGTTGCCGCTTGTGAAGAACTTCCACTGACAAACGTCCTGAATGGAGACTCATGCACCATGGCCTTGGCTGAAACTGGAGTCGTAGCAGCGGTCACGACATTCACTTGTGACTTCAGATACTCACCACCTCGAGTGTCCACTGATAATCCACCGACTATCCCACACTGCTCACTCTTCTCCAAGTTCTCTTCGACAAGCGCACGAATGCAATGCGCAGCTTCGTTCATTCGCTTTGCGTACACAATGCGGCCATGTAGTACACGGTAAAGAAGCGGTGCCAATGTAGCATCTCGTGCCACGGCAAACGCACGCAGTTCACGGACAATGGTCTCGGATAATTGCGTGTACATTTGTGTCGTAGCAACGAGCTTTTGCTTGTTGCGAAACATTCGCTCCGTCGCTTTCGTCCTTTCGCTTCGACCGCTGCCGACACGCTTTTCGTGCGCTTCTCGCAATGCCACCACCTTGCGCGAATAGTGATCGTAAAGTGTCTTCTGCCTTCGAAAAGCCAATGCTTTGCTTTCGAGGTTTCGAGCATGTTGCAGCCACTTGGTCACGGGTACCAGGACTTCAAGCTCGAGTCGGTCACACGTTTCTTGGAGAACTGTCCGATCCATTGTAGCGCATGCCACTCGAGCTTCGCCAGCAAATTTTTTGACTTCGAACGATCCGGTAGAAGACTGACGATAGCCTGTCGAACGGTTGTCTCCTGATGACAAGTCGTCCAAAGCGACCATCACTGGACTTGCAGCACCGTGGAACCTTTTGATGGAGTAAAGGTACGTTCTCAGCACCGAGTCCAGCGTTGCAAGCCGTTCCAGTGTCGGCTCAAAATCCGAGTAGACCAAATCGAACGCTACGTTTGTACTGGGCGTTACAAGGCCCAGAGCCATCATGAGTTTGTTCTTGGTGCGTACACGCAGTGAAGACATTCAATCTTGTAAGCTGACGACCAGCGATTCTTTTCACACAATGCACTTGAAGCTTTGGCGTTGCTTAGGGTGTTGACAATGGCGAAAGTCTTGATATGGCGGAAGAACATTGTTGATGGTCTAGTAGCACGATGTGCCCAACGCAGTGGTCGCGGTCTCTCAAGAATCTGGACGCAACATCAGATGCATAATGACCAAGACACATCAGGTACGAGCTTGACTACTAACATGCTACTTGTCATGTTGATTAGAACCAACCTGGTCTGCTACTCTTTACGCAGTACCAGCATAGGCCGGTTGGTAGTGAAGGTATTCTTGGGCGCATTGGGTCTCAAGTGGGCAACTCTTTGCACACGTGTAAACGGCAAGCGTTCCCCACTCGCAACTGCGCGACGTGATGTCGCCAAGAGAGCTTTGCTTGTCTACGCCCAAGTAATTCAGCAGCTGTGGCAGCACTTGGAACTCGAACTTACGCTCACTGCCACACCGTTCACATGGCGGCACACTGCTGGTAAGCATGCCCTTCGAATGCACCCATAGCACAGCTTCGTCCTCCCAGCGAGAGTAGCGCAACACCTGATCTCTTGCAATCGCAACTCTGGTGAGAAAGCGCACGTACTGCTCATCTTGTTCTGTCGTATGGCCTAGAGCCTCGTTCAGCTCTTGCTGCGTCACATCCAGATCCGTGTCGTCATCGTCGTTAATTTCCTGAGTCTTGCCTGAGAAACCAAGAAACGTGATCACTTGTCAGCTATTCGAGCATCGATCGTATGTAGCACGCTACACAACAGCTCTTCTCACCTTTCTCGAACTCTGCCATCATCTTTGCTTCGTGTCTAACAACCACATACGTGTCAGCCAACCCAGTCACAACTGCACGTCAGCTGCAAGTACCAACGTACTGATTCGCCGCTTCTCGGCTGTCTGGTTCATGGTCAATCTCCAAAATTCGTTCCGGAAAGACGTACGTCGACCCTGTCGCGATCATCTTCTCTCGCGCCTCGTCCGACTCGACCAGCACGTGCGTCTCCAAACTGTCATCCACCACTTCACCCATTAGCACTTCCCAACGCTCAGTGTCGACAACAAGCACAACAACAGCTTTCATCCATCACGCACCACTGAGCACACGTCTGTTTGTGCCCTCCAGCCGTCCAATGGTCTTTCTGATGGCGTTTACTGCAGTACTGTGCCACACGACAGGCACTGCACGTGAACGTCGCGCGCTGGCCACACAACACACAAAAGCCGATCGATAACTGCGCTTTCTCAACTTTCAGTGCAGTGGCACCGCCAGTTGCTGCGTAGAACGCATTGTCCCGTGGCAACTGCAGGCGAAACGCCTTTCCGTCGCCTTGACGAGCACAGCCGGCCGAGCGGCAGAGAAAGACATAGAGACTGCGGTGGAACGCATCGACTTCGTCGTCCAGGGGACAGTAAATCTGCAGCAAAAAAGACAGCGGATGACTGCACGCGCAGCACTGGAGCTCCGTCGTCGAGGGAACAGCTGCAGCACATGGGTACAGCCAGCTCGGTCGGCCGCCCACTTTGCCTCCGTCCCAGGCAGTCCAATTTGGCTCGTTGTGCAGGACCTTTGCATGCACCAGCGGCGCGTCATCGCACACGAAGCCAAGTTCCACGGGCACGTCGTCACTGTCCAGCTCCCGGTCGTCGTCGTCCACGTTCCTTGCGCTCATGAGGCACTGGCGACCAGTGACTGCAACTTGACCATCACCCGATCGGCTGGTGGCCAGGGGTTGTTGGTGTGCGGTCCACCACTTTCAACCCATCGGTATTTCAGCCAATCAACACCAAGCACGCCACCTCGGCATGGCGTCCAGGCCCCTCTGTCGCTACCTGCCGTCACAGACCGTCGTGGTTGCAGGCGCTGGCGTCGTGGGGCTCGCGGTTGCACGCACGGCTGCTCGCCAAGGGGCGAACGTGCTCCTGCTCGAGCAAAACGCGCGCGTGGGCCAGGAAACCAGCGCGCGCAGCAGCGAAGTCGTGCATGGTGCGTGTGGTGTGGTGTACATCAAGTTCATGGTGTGTACCCATTTCGGATCACGGCGTTGGCCTGACCACCAGTGGTTTTGTTTGGTGCGTGAGGGTCTCGTGTAGCTGGGATCTACTACGCCACAACGAGCTGGAAAGCGCGACTCTGTGTTCCAGGCCGACAGCAGCTCTACGATTTCTGCAGGGCGTTCCACGTCCCGTTTGCACAATGTGGCAAGCTCATTGTGGCCCACGCCCACCAGCAAAAGCAGTTGCAGTCGATTTGGCAGCAAGGTCTGGACAATGGCGTACGGGACTTGCAGCTGCTTACAAGCAGCGAGGCGCAAGAGATGGAGCCCCATGTGCACTGTCACGAAGCCATTTGGTCCCCGTCGACTGGCATCGTGGACTCCCACGCACTACTGCAAGCGTTGCAAGGGGATGCAGAAGCGCATGGGATGATGGTAGCACGAGCGACTGCTGTGTGTGGAGGCACGTATGATGCAAAGGCCAAGACATTTGTGATTCGAGCAATGGCGAACGATGGAGAAAGGGAGCAGGAAGTCGAGTGTGACTACTTTGTCAATGCTACGGGCATGTTCGCGCCGGAGCTCGTGGACAAGATCGTGTCGACGGATGGACAGCACTCTGTGGGACGACCGCTTCCACGCGTCCCGGAACGGTTCGCGAAGGGCACGTACTTTAAGCTCAGTGCAGCACATCGGCCATTCAGGTACGAGCACTGCTAATCGGAGAATACTGGTGTGTATATGTGTATGTATGGGTGTATATTCACAAGATCTGCTTCTTTAGACGCTTGGTGTATCCGATTCCTGAAGTTGGCGGCCTCGGTGTACACGCAACGATTGATTTGGCGGGCAATGTCCGCTTCGGACCGGACGTTGAGTGGGTAGACGGAATCGACTATCAGCCCGACTCGTCAAAAGCAGAGCACTTTGCCGAGAGAATTCGGGCATACTGGCCTGACGCGCGCGCAGACTTGTTAGAAGCCGACTATTGCGGTATCCGTCCCAAGATCACGATAGACGGCAAGATCGCTGAGGACTTTTACATTGCCGTACGTCTACTTGTTGCTACGTTGTGTACTTGTGCACGAGTGAGTGTAGTGGCGGTTGTCGTGCTGACTACATCTTGCCAGGATGAACGTGTGCATGGCATACCAGGTCTCGTGCATCTTTGTGGGATCGAGTCTCCCGGTCTTACTGCGTCGCTCGCGATAGCAGATGTTGTTGTAAGGAAGCTGCTGGATCGACGACAGTAGCTATTCGACTACGATGTACCATTGCGAGACGGAAAGGAATCACTGGAGACTTGTCAAGAGTTGAACTCGACAGACGCCAGTACCCGAGTTGACTGATCGTTTCGAACGTCACAGTATAGCTCTCGATTGTAAAAAACGACACCAGAAGCGGCAACAACTGTACCGGTCCGGTGTCTCCCTCCACATGGACTTACTCGACTGCACTCGTATTGTCACTGTGCTCTTTCTGCACGGACAACTCACTGAATGCAACAGAGTGATTTTGGTTTCCTCGCAGCTTCTGTCGACTAGTTCTTGACACGTTCGTTGGCGAATCGAAGCAACGTTCGACGAACGCGCACGGAACGAGGAGGTCCTGTACCCGACCATCGCGTTGTCGCAGGGTCAACGCCCTCTACCACATGGACCGACTGTCGAGAAATTTCCTGTTGAAGGGTTTGGTTCAACGACCTCTGACGACCCGTCGAGCGTCGCCCGAATAGAGTGCTTTATCGTTCAGCGGACAGGAACGATAGAGACGACGTCGAGTCGCGAGGAAACCCAACTGGTGTTACGGCGGCACAGCTTTCGGTGCCGCCGTAACACTATTCGTAAATGCACTTCTCGGTCGACACAGGGGCGTATCCTTCCTCGACTATGATCGACCGATAGCGTTAGATAAAGCGACATGTTTCTACGTGACGATCGACTAGTTACAGCAGCCAAAGGACAGACACAGTCACACACACACAGTACGACAGGTCCGTCATACCGGTCAACAGCCTCAGCAATCAAAGGAATTAGTTTCCATAGAGCGGCGGATAGTTTACCGTCAAGTGGCACGTGACACCACGTCGGAAGCTGCGGCGTCTCGATAGTTGTCATTGTGGCTGTCGTTGTGAGGTCGATAAACCAAATGCACTGTCTGCCGCGTGCATTTCGGGGAGACGGCCACGATGCACGTGCATGGAACGTATCTTGAGATTGTTTTGCGCACGTTCGCAGCGTCTCGTTGTGGGTTCGAGCGCGTCGTCACTCCCTTCTGCCAGACAGGACCATTTTCTGGCCTGGCAAGACGAGCCGCGCGCGCAAGTGGCGCCTTGTCGAGGCCACTGCCACGTGGGACGGGGCACTACGACGTTCGCTTGCCAGGAGGACCCATCGAGCGACCTGTACGACCAGCGAGAAGCAGAAAAGCTGTCCACACTTAGAGAGGTCCACACTGTGCTATGGACAAGTGCTCTCAATTGTCCCTCTCTCTCTCTCTCTCTCTTGATATTCGTTGATGGAAATCGCTCCGAGCACTAGCGAGCTCAGGTGTTGACGACGGTCAAAAGCGGCCACGAAGAGCTACAAAGAATAGCGACCGCTGCTTTCGACGACTCAGGTTCTCCATGTGTGCTTTTCTCCAGCCGTTGCCCTATCGACGTGGTCTGCGTGACGGCTGTTGTGCCTCGCTATCTTTCTCTGTCTTTGTGACACCTTGTGGCCGCGTATCGGCTTTCTCCCCCCCAGTACGAGCGGATGACATGGGGAAGAAGTCAGTCAGTCAGTCAGTCAGTCAGTCAGTCAGTCAGTCAGTCAGTCAGTCAGTCAGTCAGTCAGTCATTATCGATCGAAACGCAACTGTTGCGTCGCACATGCGTGTCGAGAGGACGACCGCAGGCTGTTCCACTATCCTCATCGCGATGCTTTCCACCGCGTGGAAACACCGCATGGCCCTGGACTCGTCGTCTTGACGGCAAGACCGGGCGACGAACTTCAAGGTGCAGGAACTCTGGATAGACGCAAAGCCTCAACACGCACACGACGAGGCAAAGTGGAGGCAGTCATAGTCGACTTTCAGGCAGATAGACAGCTCGATCGTCGGGGCGACACGTTGGCTCAAACACAACTGCATGACGTGCCCTGGCAGTTGACTGTCGATGACAGCGATAGTCAGAGCATACGATAGCCACAGTGCTCGCTCGAGACACACCCCGCGGCAACGATCGTCTACAGAGGTGCTGTATCGACGTTGACTGCCGTTGATAGGAGGCCGATCGATGGACGCTTTTCGAGAGTCTGTAGCTGCAACAGGCGCTATCTCGTTGCGAAGAAGCGATCGAGGCCATACTATAACCGTCTGATGCCGGCGACGACCTGATCGCCGACGACAAACGAGTCGTTACACACTGGTAGAAAGAGGCGCGAGGACAGATGGAATCAACGCGCGACGCGCAGGTGGTCGCCTGTACCTGATGCTCGCTTCTATTCTATGCCGATAGATCGTCGTGCGTTGATGTCGTATCGTCCCGAGTCATGTGTATTGACCGAGTCTCGAACGTGCCGAAAGGAATCGCTACCTGATGGCCACAAGGAGCAGCGCTACGTCCAGAGAGAGATCGATCGAGAGAGAGAGCGAGAGAGAGATCGAGAGAGAGGAAGAGGCTTTTTCGTTGGAGTGTGTCGCTTGCACGCACCAATTCGACAATGTCATTGTGGATAAACTGACGAACACGACAAGAGACTGTTGCAGTGTGTAGGCAAACGCAGTGCAACGTGGCTGTCGCGTGGGTGGGTACCGACCGACCTGTGCTGCGCATATCTTTTGGTCCATCTCGTGGCTGAAGAAGGCGCTCGTGCAGACAATACAGCCCCACGGCAGACGACTGACCACCTGTAGCGCGTCTACGCATAGAGTGATCTCAAGCATCAGACAGGCAGCGGCGGACGACAGAAGAGTCGATGCTACGTGAACAGACTGCAGTCGCATGTGACGGTCGGCGAGAAAAAAACAGTTGCAGCACGAGACGGCTGTAGACGGTGCTCGAAAGAGAGCGTCACGTTGGCTTGTAGAGCGCCACTTGGGACAACGAGTGCACGCGTAGTGCGGCCAAAGGACTTCGTCTACGGCTCTCTCTCGTTTGACTTGTTCAGGAGCTACACACACGAGTGACGTGAGGTACTCACTCGTGCCGCCGAAGCCGTATCCTGCAGCTGTATCCCCCCCATTTCAATATGAGACTGACGACCAGTGGATCAATGGACAATGGATCGACTGATCACTTGAGGCGCTTGACATTCGTTTATATATTTGCGTATAACTTACTACTTCCTTCTTCTTCTTCACGTCTTCTTCTTCGTCTCTATCACAATGTAAACACACACTCGCGCACTCTATTGACCGGTCGTGCGCGATGTCTACTTGACTCTCTCTCTCTCTCTCTTCTATCTCTCTCTATCTCCTATACCCACCCACACGAAAGCTGCACCGTTGTTCTCGGCGACTGCAGTGCCAACCGACCGACCGTCGCTGGTCCCAGTTTTGTTCCTCCCTCGGTCGAGCTCTGGTCCAAGAAGGTCCACTGAAAGGTCCGAGCACCGTCGAATACAGCAGCGCAGCTGAGCACGAATCGCTGGTTTCCTACCCGTCTGTCTATCTGTCGGTCTGTCTGTCTGTCTGTCTGCCCGTCACTCTGTCTGTCAACCTGCGTGACTGCAAGTCCCTCCGTCGCAGCTGCTTCTCTCTCGTTGCGGTCGATGACTGCCAGTCCTTTTGTCGTCGAGCTCCCATCAAGTTCAACGTCGCGACAATGGGCCCAGTCCCCCCCCTTCCTCCCTCCTTCTCCCTCCCTCCCGTGACCACCCAACGAGGATGGCTGACGGCGAGCAACGAGACCCGTCTGTCGTCGTCTCGCCTTCGTCCGTTCCTTGCTATGCAGTGGCTGCCGTTACTGTTTCCCATTGCTCGGGGGCGACTCGCGGTCCTTTTGGATCCACGCGCTCTTGAGCAGATCAATTTCGAGGTTCGTCTGCCGCTGTTTCTGCGCGTCTTCGGCGTCTTTGGCTGTCGAGGGCTTGGGCGGCATCGTATGGTTCAGCCCGTAGTAGAAGTAGTTGCGTAGCAGTAGTAGTAGTAGTAGGAGGAGCTGCTCGAGTCGGATTCGAGGAAGCAGAGGACGCGAACGAGGAGTTGGAAGAGGACAAGTGGGTCCTGGAGCGCAAATTCCGTTTTGACCGGTGGCATGAGCGCCACCAGCCGAGGCCGTCTCCTCTGCTATGCGCGACGACGACGTGACAGATTTGGTCCGAGAGCGAGCGACTGGAGCTCCCCGAGGATTGGGCCAACCACGTCGACTTGACAACGTCACACGCCATGCAAATTTCCGCCGTGCTGCTGAAAAAAAGGCCACTTGCGCTGCTTCCTTGCCCAGCCACGACCCCATACACTACAACAACAACTACAACAACCACAACAACAACTACTACTACTACTACTACGGCTGCAACTATCGCCACCAATTCGGACCTGTGCTAGGACTACTACTGCGTGACGCTCGACGAGGGGCTGCAAAACGCGTCCGTCGCACTGCTGTAGTGTCGTAATCAATCCCTCGTCGCCTTTTGCACACAGTGAACCCCTTGTCGTCATGACACAGTCCTCCCACGCGCCCACACGCTCACAACCAGAGCTTTAGGCGCTGAAAAAAGTCGCCGAGCTCCAGTTCTGTGGCTCTCGTACGCAGAGAGAGAGCGCGCGCGCGCGCGCCACTGAAAAACAAGTAAAGAGTCGCAAATGTCGCTCTCGGAGCGGCCTCGTGGGATGATACTGCGTGCCTGGCGACCGACGTCTTTGTGCGCGTTGAAAAATTAACACGAGCAGTGCCCGACGCCGTTTGTGGCTCGATTCGACCCGCCCAGGCACGACCTCGTGGATGTGAATTATTGACATGGCGTAGCCATCTCTGGTCCGGTGCCCTCCTCGCGGCTGCTTCTTCGATGGTGCAAGCCACGAGCGAAACAGTCGCGCTAAAGGGCGCCATGAGGTGCGTGGGACGGCGTGCCCAACGAGCGGCCAGTCATTTAATTGCCAGTCAGTCAGTCAGGTCGTCGTCGTCGTCGATCTTGCCGCAAGAAAGTGAGAGAGGGAAAAAAGGGTCCGATGACGGCCGTCTGTTCCTGCGCTCGGCACCGACGACGGACGGCCTCTTGACGTGCGCGTCAGGTTGTGAGACGCTGGTAGAAATTTAGCGCAAATTTTGTGCCGAGATCGGCGCGTGATGGGATCTGTGCTCCGTCCCTGGGACTGGTGGGGCAACGCGCTGCTGCACGTGGCTGACGACCAGTCAGCGCAGGGGACACCACTGACGACAATTGCACACACGCCGCGACAAATGGACGGATCGAGTTTCTCGATGGGGACTTCAACCCGGCAAAAAAGTCGACGGGGACTGCTCGCCTCTCGAGCGGCTGCCGTGCGCGTTTCGCTGCACGCTGCGAGCAAACACGACGCGCATGTCGCGATGGCTCTTTTGCCAGGGGGCTGGAAGCAGCGACATCTTGACTAGCCTTGGCCGCCAAGCGAAGAAGGAGAAGGAGAAGGACGAGTAGGAGGGAACACGCACATGTACATGTACATAGTTATATGTATAACTGGGCTCGAGCAAGAGCTCATGGGTAGTGTTTACATTGTGGCAGAGGGAGGACAGACGTTGAGGCAACGAGCCAAGTGGGACTCTCTCGGACGGTGTTATGTCAGTGCAACGGGAGCCACGACGAGCACAACTGGTCCCTCGCCCAGCGCGTCACGTCGACTGAACGCGACGACTGAGCTGACTGAATCGTTTTGATTGCTTCCGTGTAGAGCGACCTCCTTGAGAACAATAGTGCGTGTCTATGTGTGTGTGTGTGTGTGTGTGTGTGAGGAGATCTATGTACATTCACCACACGCTGTACCGTCCGTTCGTCATCCTAAAGCTCACGTCGACAGGAGCCAAACGATGCACTACGTGCGATACACAGACAAGCGACCGACAACGAAACGGTAGGAAACGATTCCCTCTCGACGATATCGCCATCAAGTTGCAGTCGACTGACCGCTCGCGCGTCGTTGTAATCGTTTTTTTTCTGCCGTCGTCACATAAACCGCAGAGCAGTAGCGGCTTCTCACGCGCTGTCCTCAGAAAAACGACCACTTGATTGAAGGCCTTTGACGATCGTCGCTGTCCACCGAGTTCAACAACTCGTTTGCCATTATATACACTGCTCGTCCGTGACATGTTTACGAAAAAAGACACGCGTCGGCCTATCTGCGTGTGTATCTGTCTGTCTGTCTGTCTGTTTCCGCGTGAAAGTTTGGGAATCCAGTCGAACGGCAAAGGATCGCGCGATCAATCGATGAATCACTCAATCACTCGTTGCGAAAAGAGACACAACGCGAGCAGAGGAGGAGGAAGAAGCAGCAACAGCAACAGCAGCAGCAGAAAAAGAAAAAGAAACAGGATCCCTTCCTGCCCCAAACGTCGTGAGACACGATGCGATACGACCGCCTGGCCGAGAAATCATCACGCGCGGCGCGCAAGACGGCCGTCAACGACGGGCCGCGTGAAAAATTAAAAAAATAACCTGATTCATCCGTCCGTCTCCTCTTTCCTCAGGTGCAGCGCAGGAGCCGGTCGGGGTGACCGACCCACACGCGCGGGCTTTTTATGTGCGAAAAGACACGGGCAGCTGCACATGTCGCGACTTATAGCCCCTGCGCGGAACATGCGCGGAACAGCAGCAGCAGTGCCCCCAATAGAGGCTCGTATCCGGTCCGGAAAACGGCGCAGGGGTGTATACACACACACGACCGCGCAGGCTCGTGCCGCAGCGGGTGGCGCGTATAGTCGGTATACACACGGCACCCGGACTTCCTTCCGTCCCGCCACAGAACCACATATGCCCAATACGACGACGACGCACAGACGACTCTTAACGGCTCCACCCACACAATAAACAGTGTATAATTTATATCATAGTGTGCTAAATACGCGCCAAGCGCAGCAGCGCACTCGACGCTCTGTGCTCGTCCGCCACTCGTCCGCCCATCCTTTCTCGCGCTCTAATAATCAACAAGGCGGCCGTCCACGTCGTCGCCTGCGTGCGTATCTGTGTGTGCGTGTGCAGTCGTCACCAGCTGGTGCGCAAGTCACAAGGCCCTGCAAGTCGCAATAGCAGCGATTCGCGTCGCACGTGAACTCGCACGTCCGCCTCTTCTGGCCACCAGCAACAGCAACAGCAACCGCACAACCTGCTGCCGTCTCTCTCTCTCTCTCTCTGCGTCCCACGCTCGCTCGCACGCTCTCTCTCTCTATTGCTCTGGACCGTCCCCGCGCTCTCTCTCTCTCTTGCACTGGCGCTCACTTGGCGGCAGATAGAGGAGGCGTCGAGTGCGCGCCGTACTGCTCGCGGTCCTTGCGGATCCACGCGTTCTTGAGCAGGTCAATCTCCAAGTTCGTCTGCCACTGCTTCTTCATGGCCGCGTGGCCTCCTGCGCCGTCGGCTGCACTCTGCATCGCACCAGTCGTCGACGTGGGCATTGGCAAAGACGAAGAAGAAGGAGACGAAGACGAAGAAGACGAAGAAGAGGTGTGTGTGTGTGTGTGTGTGGAGGTGGGCGTCAATCTCTCTCTCTCTCTCTCCTCAATGGAAAGAATGAGACTGAAGAAGCTGTTGACTGAACGGCCCCACACGTGACGGATCGATCGATCGACCGGTACGAGGCAAAAGGTGGAAAAAGTGGTCGTGTCTGTCTGTGCGTTCGTGCGAGTGGGTCGTCTGCCGCTTGTGAGGCTGACGGCAAATTCCAATGTGAGGGATTGGGACCTTCTCGAAAGCTCTCGGGCCGACCGACTCGGCCCCCGACGCACGAGCAGACGTGGCGGTCGCTAACCACCCACCCCACCCCACCCCCCACCCCCTCTTGCTGTGTTGTCGCATCGTCGTAAACGTCTACACGTCAGACGGTGCGGGCTTTTTCTTGCTGCAGCGGCTGCTGCCGGGGCTCCTCCTGCTGCGGCAGGAGCGCCCTAGCCCTTGCTAGCCCTTGCCCTTGCCCGACCCCTCCCTGCCACGCGAAAACTTGTTTGTGGCGCCCAGCAACATAACCCCCCGAGCGACCGCTATAGCCGGAAATAGCGCAATGGCGACACGCCACACGTGCGCGCGGGCAACGGCCCTTGCGAGCATCGCCTGCACAACAGGAGGAAGAAGAAGAAGAAGAAGAAGAAGAAAAAAAAGCGACTGCAACGCACGCGCAGGTCAAAAAAAAGCAGCAACTGGGTTTTCTTTCTTCTTATATAGCGCTTTGTATGCGTGCAACGGCGATGGGTGGTCTGTTTTGGGATCGGAATCATGCCTGTTTGCCCTTGGCGCGGGCTGTCGGTGTGACTGGCGTTCACTATGGCTACCACGCGACCTGTGCAACGGCATATTGTGGCCACAGTGCGTGGCTCGAATTCGAACGCGGTGGTAGAAGTGGCAAGTTTAGGCCTTGACGACCGACACCCGGGGCAAACGAGGCACTTTCTGTGGTCGTTCGACTTGCAAGTGGCTTCGAGCGCCGCGAGAGGTGGGTGGCTGGTTCGCGGCCATAAACATCCATCGCCGTGTCCATCATCGACGCATGTCGCTTCGTGTACGAGCAGTACGACGCATGGCAGTGGTGATGGGGTATGTGTGCATGTGTGTGCATGCGTGAGGATGCGAAGAAACAAGTGGCTTTTTATCCATTGTGCTTTTTTCTTCTTCTGTCGTCAACGTTTTCCGTCGGCGTTGCACGAAGAGGAATCCCCAAACGCAAGTGATCGAGTGATTGATCGAGCGAGGGCCAGCGGCGTGCGCGACTCGATCTGCTTTTTATACCGTGTTTGTGTTTTTTTCGTCATGGCGTCTCGAGACGGTTGTGCTTCCAGTACGTCTGCTCGAGGAGCTCCTGACAAAACTGTACGTACGTCGGAAGTAGAGGCGACGACGGAGTGGCAGTCGTTTGTTGCCAGAACTTGACGCTGCACCACGTTTGCAGCCCATCTGGTGACTACTGCAGTAACTACGGGTGGGACGAACGTGCACGGGGGCCGCATGGACACCAGCTGACAGGTCGGTCGGAAGAGCTTCTGGTAAAACGCACTGCCTAACTCGCCATCTCTCCATCGAACCCACTGACTAACTGACTGACTAACTGACTCGCTGAGGTAGCGAGTGAAAGAGTACGGGACCAACAACTGATGGACTGATGGACTGATGGACTGACTGTCTGTCTGTTCCGTCGCGTCGTGTCGTGTCGTGTCGTCTCTCCATTTCCCTCTCCACCGAGACGCAGACGCGATTACTCGCCTATTATACATAGCACGTGTCCATTCATCCATCCACCTACTTACCCACCTTTGGACTTCCCTACTTGGACTTGCCCACGTATCGATGCAGCGACTTGGTCTCGTTTTCTACGCCACACGCCCACCACAAGGGCTCTCGGACACGTGAGGCAGTGCGCCACCTGTGGGACCTGTCCGCCTTCTGGCCGCCGCCCGCAAACAAGTCGGGCGCTCGACGCCTGATCCAGTCCTGGCGCCACGTGTGGAAACGAGGCCACTGCTCGCTCGCTCTTTTGTCGCTCGTGCGCCAGCGCTAGAGCCGGCGTGGCATCCGAGCGCAGAAGTTTGCGCCACGCGACGCGACTCGTGCACGCCAGTCATTGCGATCCTTTCTCCTGTCTGTCTCCCCGACGAACGGCACGTCCCCTTTGCCTTCTTGTCGCTGTCGCATGCCACTCCCTGCCTTGTCGCACCAGAGCGGTCGGTGCGCAGGTTCCAGCAACGCGTCGGTCAGTGCGCGTCCACGGAACGGACACGTGACCAGAAGTCCCCTCCTGACGACGATAGGGCGTGCGGGCGTACGTACGTGCGCCATTGGGATCTCAGCCGTCGCATGTGTGCGGTGCAACACGACCGTCTCGAACACGAGCGACGTGCCCCACCTCTCGACTTTGCTGCTGAGCTGCTGCCCTACCTGTCTATACACGTGCCTGCCTCCCTATCTACCGACCTATCTCTCGACCTCTCTCTCTCTCTCCTACCAACACGTGTGCAAATCGTGACGGCGTCTGCGCCAACAACAAAGCCACAACGACCGACGCCGATGCCGCTGCTCGCTCAAAACTTTCACATCGCGTGCCGTGTGCACGTCGATGGCGCACGCTGTTTGCTGCACGTTCAACCGGCCAACACGAAGCAACACGAGCGCTGCAATATATGTGTGTGCAGTGTGCGCAGTGTCTACACATGTGAGCAGACACAGAGAGCTTTTACTCGCAGCAACCCGTTGCGGTTTCGATCGAGCCATGTCAAACAGCATTGAGGTCCGTACAGGCAAATTGTAGCCGGCAATCGATCGATAGCTGTTGTTGCGACTGCTACTGCTGCGGTCGTCTCCACCGATATGAGTTGTGGGCTCCATGCAGTCGTTCGCTTGAAGTTGGGGCGGCAGCAGCGGCGACGGTGAACGGGCTGCTGAGTCGCATGGCCATGCAAAGTGGGACGCAGCCCTTCGCGGCCTCCCCTTTCTTCAGACTCGGAGGATCCCACCGCCTGGACCCCACTCTGCCTGTCTGACGTACGTACGTGTGTGTGTGTGTGTGTGTGTGGGTGGTCGTTGTCGTTGTCGTAAGGGCCTTTCAGGGTAAGTACTCCCTCGACGGACGACGTGTGCGAGACGAGCGGTCGAGAGGCACGTAATGGTGTCGACATGTAGGCACGAGGCCGAGCCTTTCGACGCTCGTCTTCTTCACGTCACGGCCACGTCATGGCAACTCACCGAGCAAGAGTCGGGATCGAAGCGGTACTGCGAACTCGATTGAAAGGCTGACGGACGGATCGATTGATCGATCGATCGATCGATCGATCGCCAAGGAGACGCACCGTCAGACGTACTGCTGGACGACGACGCATGCGACGGTTGACCAGGCGCGAGCTGCGCGACCTCCGTGATGGGACGAACGAGACGGGACGGGCGGACTTACTGACTCGGCCCTCGCCTTGCGTGTGTGGTGACGCTTCAAGCTTTGTCTGCTTCGTATGCACCGTTTGGATGTAGGCGGCCACCACGTAGCAACACTACGGTAACGTCCGTACGTGCACATGCACACGCGCGCTCTGAGTCACTAGAGGGACCGAGCAAAGGGAACTCCCTACTGGCTCCATGCGCACTACGAGCGAGCTGATCGAAGGGCCAATCCATCGCTCTCGGTCATGCAGCACGCAACCCGAACGTGTGGGTATCAGCCACCTGCCGACTGCTGCCCGCACTCCCAACGCCAACTATTCCTCAGGATCGAGCTCTCGATTTGACATCGCTGGCGTATTAGACAACTCGTTGGCAGCAGAACGAGAGAGAGAGAGAGAGAGAAAGAGAGCGAAAGTTTGGGCAACGACGTGCGTACGTGATATGTAATGCCTCGACTCTCGTCGTATCCTGACGGAGCAAGTGACATGAAAGTACGCGAGATCGATCTCCTGGTCGCAACGAGACCAACGACAACCGACAACGACCAGAACGCCATCGATCGATGCGCACGTCTAGTCCGATCGCCGGTAGCGTCTTCCGACAAATCGTCGCGGCGTCTTCGGAGAACACAGTGCATCCAAACTGCCACCCGTCGCGTCTGCGCGGCAAGTCGCAGGTCTACAACGGATCCCACATGTACCATGTTGTTGTTATAGTTGCTGTTACAGTTGCTGTTATAGTTGCTGTTATAGTTGCTGTTATAGTTGTGGTTATAGTTGTCGTTGTTGTTGTTGCCTGTATAAAGACTCAATCGTATCGCAGTTTGTATGGCAATATCGCTCGCTGACCCATCTTCTCGTCTGTCTGTCTGTCTTTCTGTCTGTCTGTCGCGAGCGACCGTCGAGTGTGTCCATTCAAGCGATGCGACGACCTTCTTCTCGATTGCCATCTGGCTCGATCACGTGACAGCAAATCGTAATAAAAAGTGATGTACAAAGGCCCTAAGCGCGCGGCAGGTGCAGAAGGCGGTGGTCGAACTGCGTGGCACCAGAAGAAAGTGCCCTAAAAAATAAAGCAGCAACTTGCTCGGCTGCTTGAGCGCGGCCGTTCTGGTCATGAAAGTAGTGGCCGACGGCCATATGTCCCGACTGCAGAGACAGCTCTGAAGGCAGGCACTTTGTGTAACGTGAAAAACTTTTTTCGTTTGTCGCACGTGAAAAGGCTTTGGACGTGTGTCTGTCTGTCTGTCTATCTGTCCATCGGTAACGAAAACGGCAGACGGTAACACGAGCGATCAGCGCCCGAGCGCGCGATGACTCACGACCATTGATGCAGCGGTTGTCTTGTCGAGTGAGCAAAAAGCACTTTGTTGATTGACAACTGCTCGCCTCTCTCTCTCTCTCTCTCTCTCTTTGCCCAGCCGTGTTGACAAAAAAAAAGATATGTTCGAACTTGTCGCAAATGGTAAACAACGTGGCTACCAGCCGTCTCTCTGTAGAGCACTTCGTCTCGACGTTGCGACCAAAGCACGTGGTCGATCGAGTTCGGCCGGTCGGAAGAAATCAAGTGGCTCTGCGCATATGGTACAGCCATATCCAGTCATTCAGCCATCGGGGATTGAACAACGTTACCGCTTCTGCTGATGTCGACGTGTCGAGACGGACAATCTGTCTGTGTCTGTGTGTCATTACCGACAATACGTGTAGCAACTTTGTCGTACGAACGTCTGCTCGCGTCCGTTTTGCCTGCTGCTCATGCAAACGAGTCGACGATATGGTTTTGTTCGGATATGACGTGCGAGAAAAGCGTGTTGCAGGCTCAAGAAAGCAGTTTTTTGCACTTGCACGAGCGAACACGCAAGCGGACGTTTTTTGCCATGGACCGCAAAAAAAGCTTGTTATGGTTTGTTCTTCGGGTGCGACCGCTGCGTTTCCAGCGTGTGCGATCATCATCGAGAGGGTAAGCTGCGTCCTTCGTGCGGCACGATGTCACCAGGTTCGTGACTCTTTTTCGTGGTGCAAAACGCACGTCACCACCGAAAGCAAAACGACTTTTTCCAGACAATTGGCCTACTTTCTTTCTTCACGCGCACGTCGTTTTAACTATGACTATCTGGAAGAACCCCCCTCTATATCGCACGTAATCAGTCCATGGCACGCGCTGCGTTGTATACGCATCGATGTATACGCCTCTCTCTCTCTCCTGGTATATGGCCATTTCTAACCCACACATGAACACACACGTACGCCCTCGAACCAGCAACCTGCCAATCGCCGCCGTCTGACACGTTGCGATGACGTCGCCCCATTCGTGCGGCCGCCACCTGTCGGTCCTCTCCCGTCGTCCCCCCGTCGTGCGCGTCGTCGGTCCGTCTCGCTGCTTCACGTCCACGAACTCCGTCCGCCCACCACCCGCTGCCGTCCGCGTGTTCTCGGGCATCCAGCCAAGTGGGGTCCCCCATTTGGGCAACTACTGCGGCGCCATTTCTAAATGGGTCCAGTTGCAGTCCGCCACCTGTGACGCGTCGATCATTCCCACCAATGCCACGTCAATGGCGTCATCGCCGCCAGCTGTTTTGTGCTCCGCCAATCACCGGTCCGCCTCTCCCTCCGCGGCCACTTCAACATGTACCCATGTCAAGTCGCCCGTAGCTGCTGGAGTTGCACCACTGCCCACGCGTTTGTTTGCGGTCGCGGACCTGCACGCAATGACTGTCCCGTTTGACGCAGCGCACTTGACCGCGCGCGTGTATACGGCCGTTGCCGCGCTATTGGCCGCGGGCATTGACCCCACGCGGTCGATTGTGTTCCGCCAGTCCCATGTCGCGGCCCACGCAGAGCTCATGTGGCTCTTGAGCTGCGTGACGCCGCTCGGATGGCTACATCGCATGACGCAGTTCAAGCACAAGACCAGAGCTCCACAGCAGAAGGAGCAGAGGGAAGAGAAAAAGCAGCGCGACGGACAATGGGGTGCGTCGATTGAGACGGAGAGTTCGCTCGGATTGTTGTCGTATCCAGTGCTCATGGCCGCAGATATTCTGCTGTACCGAGCGATGCTCGTGCCGGTGGGCGACGACCAGCTGCAGCACTTGGAGCTCGCTCGCATGATTGCTGCGGCATTTAACAACCGCTTTGGACGGGAGCGGGAAGAGGGTGTGGAGAGCGCAGGGAAGAAGCGCGACCGTGCGCCTGTGCTGTTGAAGCCGTGGCCGATGGAAGACAAAAAAGACGCGAGAATGGACATGGGGAGGATGGGTGAAGCGCAGCGCCAGTCGCGTGCGCGGATCATGAGTTTGCGGGACCCGACAGTGAAAATGAGCAAGAGCGACGCGTCGGCGATGAGTCGCATTGAGCTCACTGACTCTGCAGATACGATTCGCAAGAAGCTGCGCAAGGCAACGACCGATGCAGTGCGCGGCATTTACTACGACCGACGCGAGAGACCTGGGGTCAGTAACTTGCTGGACATTGCAAGTGCTGTCACGGAGCAAAGCGTCGCGCAGCTTGAGACGCAGTATGCTGACTACGGCACGGGTGCATTCAAAGACTGTGTGGCTGACGCGGTGATTGCAAAGTGCGTGCAAGTTGCGAAAGGGGACAAACACTGGCTGCTGATGCTGACGTTGGTGGTTGCTCTCTCTCTCTCTCTCTCCCTCTCTCTCTCTCTCTCTCTCTCTCTCTCTTGCTGTGTCGGTGTATAGGATCTGCCCGATCGGAGAGCGCATCAAGCAGTATGAGGCCAACTTGGACTATCTCGACCAAGTGCTGGCGGACGGTGCAGCTCAAGCTTCTGAGATGGCTGCTGTGACAATGAAGGAAGTGAAGGAGGTCATGGGTCTCGTGAAGTCGTAGCGTGATCCAAGTCGGGTAGAAATGGACAATGCGATTGCTGGAACTATCTCTGCTTGCTTGGAAGTTACTCGTCGATGTTGTTGTGCGCGATTCTCACTATGTCGTCGATCACCTGGTCGTTTTGTCCAGCCAGTCGTGTCTGCCCGAGAATGTTGTATGCTTTTCTGCTCACAGTGATTCGAATGCAGCTGTCGATACCTACACAAGTTGAGACGGCGTGGTCTGCTGTAGCAGCAGCTCGATCATCGACTGTGTTGTCACGTGTCCAACTGGGCAGTCTACTATGGCCATCTCGGCAGGTACGCAAAACATTGTCAATCACGTTTGTCGTCCACGTAACAATTGCAGAGTCATCGCAAGCTGCAGTCAGACAATGCTTGTTTGGCCGATGAAGATGCTGGAGCTTGAGTACGCTCGATGTATGAGCCACTGCCTGTGCAAACTCGATATGATTGTCTGCATTCGCGGATCTGGTAGTACCGAAGGGAGCAAAGCGCGTGCTGTGTGGACTGTGAGCACAAGCCGAATGCCTCTGAACTACCTGTGGCTGCTACCACGATGCAAGCTGTGTACCTCAAGCTGCATGGAGAGTGCAATTGTGCTAGCCAATTTCGGTGCTGGATGAGCAGCGACGTGATTGCGGATCCTGCAGTGCCTGTGAGTAGAAAATATCGGGACACGAGTGCTAATGATGTGCTAGCAGAGCTTGTGGGATTACATGCTACGACTGTGGCAACCACTGCTGCTTTGTCGGTATTGTACCTCACAGTCTGCGCAACAATACGATCGGAAGTGACAGCGACAGTGACGTCGTCCAAGATGTCGAAGTGCGTGCGCCACATTCCAGCAGCCCGCGCTGCGATCAGTGTCTATGCCTGGAGTGGTAAGTGATGTATCGTCGATCGAGTCGGGCAATCTGAGACGATCAAGGATGTGATATCTTCACCAGTGAGTCACGTTGCACGGCAAACTTCGACGGATCACTGGTACACACAACGTCTTGAGCATGACAAACTTCATCCGTGTATCGGCACAGAAGATCCGTAATGACGACGTGGTGCACTGAAGCGAGTGTGTCTCGGGCTTCAACAAGATGGCCACCTCCACCACGACATTGCTCAAGAAACGATCCGATCATGACGCACGTCGAGCGTGGACAGTGGATAAAAGACTCTACGTTTGTCCTGTCAGATGTGGTTGCCACATGCGGCATTGTCCGGACGAACAGAGTCGTCCAAGCGATGGACGTTCGCCAGCAAACTGTTTGCGCTCGACCGACGCAATGTCTGGAGGATGCAGTTGAGATCAGGCTGAGCTACACCAGTCAACGGTCCAACCAGTTGAGGTTCTCATAGGCTACTTGCCGCATCCATTGACGTCGCTTGGACCAACGCACTTGTGATGGACTCATTCGCCTCACTTTGCATGACGTCGGAGATTGTTCGATGTCTGGAGTGCAGAGTCTTGTTACAATTTAGCAATGGACGTGTCTTGATGAGAGGAACGTGGTGACGATACGGGCGTGACTTCCTGCAGTCAATCGATCGTTCTCGTGCGTCAGACGTTGTTGAAGCACCAACGCATGCTGTCCATCCTGACCAACTGCTTTTCATGCTCTTTCGTGCGTCCGACGATTGATCGCCTGTTGATGAGCTGGAAACCGATAAGCCAAGACCCGCATGATGGCAGCTGGATGGCAGTTGGTTCAACCAGCTTTCACGACATTGCTGCCACGACCACGGCCATGGTAGACCCATGTATACACTGCAGCAGACGACATCGTTCACGCATCGATCGATCCATCAGCCCATACGAAGTCAATTGTTGATGCAGCCATCGACGCACATATACCACTGCACCATGGAGACCACAAGAGCTATTCGCGACGTGGTCAAGCCGAATGCCCCGCAACAGACCGTCGTGATCAGACACTGCTCGCCAGGAATAGCCGTGTTCGGAGGCCGTCGTCATGCGTCTCGTTCAATCTTAATCTCTGTCGGACTGATAAGCAGGTAAAAGTGCGAGGCCCTGGTCCATCCGTTGCAGTGCTGCCGTGCACAACAAACTCTCCTGGAACTCTTCACCAGCTGACAATCGCGACGAGATCATCAACACGTGACCTGCCGTGGCAGTCGCCCCAGGAACACACACACACGAACGCTATACCCCGTCCGCAGGAAACCAGACAACCGGTTTCCACGCACACATTGGCCCTATCCAGAGACCCATTAGCCGCACCGTACAGCTCCTCCCCTTGCACTCTTGCAGCCACCCGCGTCAAGCCAATAACCCACTCGTCTCTTCGTCCCTACCGCCACTTTCCTCGTCGCTCGACTCGTCTTCCGTCCCATTCACTCGTCTTCGACGGTGCGTGCGCTCGTGTCCCTCGTTTCTCGACCTCACTCGACGACTGCAACACACATAGTCCCTCCATCGCCTCTTGTCCCTCGTCTCCTCCTCATACGTCGGTCCCCCTCCCAGCACCCGATACAAACACGGCACGAGGTACGCACAGCGACAACAGCACTTGTACGCCCACGTCTCATCGTCTCGATCTCGAGGCCGAAGACCCGTTTCGAGCACCATACTGTCGTCTCTTCCCTCTTCCAATGGCCACGTGGCCGTCACCTCTGCCGTCACGACTGCGCGCGCACGGACTGCGGGGACCCGAAGCATTGCACGGACGTCGTCGATCAGGACGGGAGGGGCGTAGAGGTCCATCGTATAGCGCACAAGAAACTGTTGGACAGTGTCGTTGACGCTCGGGCCGTAGAGCTCTGCAAAGAGGGCGTAGACTTGAGGGGATACCCCACGGTAGTCGACCGTCGGCTGGAGGTGGGGCTGCACCCGGTACGCCATCGGGTCAACGAGCGACGAGTTGTCAATGGGTCCCGGCCGCGCCGACGTGGCGGTCGCGTCGCAGACGTACGCTGTCCACGTGTTGAGCCACTTTGTTGCAAGGAGGAAATACGCTTCGTGTCGCCCGAGCGGATGGGCGTCGAACGACAGGATGACGTCGCGCTCTTGTTGTCGACGGAGGGCCGAAGGGGGAAGCGAAGAGGAGAGCGGGGGAGCTGGTGAGGGGGTGCGCGGTGGCGATGGCGGTTGCTATGGTTGGGTTGACGTCGTTTGGAGTCGGAAGAGGAGGGGACGTGGCCATGATGGAGTGGGGTGAAGACCGAGAGCGGAAGAGGAGACGCGACGTGGACTGGAGAAAGCGTTGGGAGGTCAGGAGGTGGGGGAATGGCTGTCAACCATTCATTGGACTGGACGCCGAGGGGATGGCACCTGCTGTCTTCGCCGCCTTCTTACCGTGGACAAAAGCTGCTGCAACGGCCTTTCGCTGCCTCTGGTCGTGACGTACGTGGTGTCGAGCGAGTCAATTGAGACGGCTGCTAAGGGCCGAAGCCCTTCCTTCGGGTTGATGGTGGGGCGTGAGCTCTGGGATGGCGTTGTCGGACGTACCGAGTGCTTTGCATCTCGTGGAGCCGCGATACCGCGCGCTTGAACGCGATCTTGAGGTCTTTGAGTGCCACGAGGTTGCGTGTGTCAAGGGGACCTGAAGGCGCTCCTCCAGGCGCATCGCACGAACTCGTGGGAACGCCTACAGCTTTGTTGTCCATGCGCATTGCCTCCTGCTTGTTCGCTTGTGCTTCGCTGGTTGTTGATGCCGCTTGCACGCTCTGGTCGTCGAACGAAAAGATCTCGCGAGGCACAGCAGCTTCAGTTGACAGCACAAGTTGCGTCCGGTGCTCGTAGAGCTCATCGACGAGCACAATGAAGCGCCGCGCTGGATCGTGCTGGGCCATGCTCAACATCGGCACGTCGTCGAGCATGACCGTGTGGAAACGTTCGGCGATGGCTTTGTAGTCTGCGGCCCCTCTCTCCGTCCCGCACAAGGCATCAAAGGATGCTCGACACACGCCACGCTTCAGAGATCCTCGAATGTCGAGCGTGCGACCCATCATCACGGGCACGTGCAGCAGTTCGTCCTGGACATTGTTGTCCCTCGAGTCTCGAGCCTCATCGGCCAACAGCTCGTGGTACAGTTGATCCATCTCGCGCCGCGTTGAGGCAGACAGTGGCGTCAAGAACGTTCTCTCGCGATCGAAAGGCTCGCAGAGAAGACGGTAGTCGATTTCCGAGTTCATCGACAGCACTTTCGTGTGCCGCGCGAGCTGATCCAAGAAGGGCATAAAGTACTCGCGATTCGTGCCATCTTTGTAGAGGTCCTATCAAAAGCAAAGCAAACAACAGCAAACAACAACAACAACAACGACAACGACCGCATGGGGTTAGCTCCGGGTTAGATCAGGTACCCCATGCCCATTCTTCGTTGTATCTCTTTACCTGCGGCGGCGTATTGGACGTAGCCACCATGACGACACCCCGTTGGAACAGTACCCCAAAGACTTTCCGCATAATGAGTGCGTCCGCGACGTCCGTGACTTGAAACTCGTCGAAACAGAGCAAGTGACTCTCGTCGGCCATCTCCTGCGCGACTTGGACCACAACATCTCGACTGTGGCTTCCCATCCAGTGCTCTGGTGGTCTACTGGGATCCGGTATCGCCTCTCTGGTCTTTTCCCGAGCCAATCGCCTATGTAGATCCATCATAAAGTCATTAAAGTGCACGCGTCGCTTGCGTTGGACGTTCGCAGTGCGAAAAAATAGATCCAACAGCAGCGACTTTCCCGTGCCAACGCCTCCGTAGAGGTATAACCCACGAGGGATCTTCACGACAGACTTGAAGTCCACTTCTTTGGTCTTCGGAGCTTCTTTCTCGGTATTAGGGAACTCGGAAACGGGCAACTTGTAGTCAATCAATTGCGTATGCAGTTTGTCGAAATACCGGCGCACGAGTGCCACTTGGTGGCCATCGAATTCGAGACGTTTGTGATGGACCAGAGCGTTGTAGGCCTCTGATGGCGTTTGAACGTGCGGTGACGTTGAGAAAGAGGTGACAATGGACGAACGAGTGCGATAAACGTGGGAACGGAAGTGGTGGGTGGAAAAGCGCATGAAGGGCTGGAAGCGGATATCTGAATGTCACGTTCGAGACGGTATGGTATCGTATCGTCGTATACAAAGGGTAGAGATCCGCATACGTTTGTCTCACCTGTTTGGCCTTCTGGAAAGTATCCGTAAAGTCGACAAATGTTGTCGTCATGTGACCATAGACCAGACATTATCGTCGATATCCATGTTGCACAGTCCACTAAGCTGCTTTGCAGCAGGTAAATCGGATACCGCTCGAAGCGTCGGGACATCAATGACCCACTTCTCTGCCTGTGCATATGGTTCACTTGTACTAAGCTGAAGAAAGCGGTGGCATTTACTTGACACTTGCGCTGTTTAGCTTCCATCAGCTTTGAAGTGGCGTCCCGAAGGTAACAGGTAGCACTGTACTCTTGTTATACTGAACAAGCTATAGCACGAGTGTAGATAATGGATAAGGCGTCTACCACTTTTCTCGCGGCACGTTTTCTTGCTACCATCTTTGCAACTGCTCACGAGATTCTTCTCATCGACACAATTGCTTGCGATATCAGTGACACAACGGACGCTCTTGTCGAAAGAACTGCAATAGAGATGCACCATAGCAGCATTGTCAGTAAACAGCACGTGCAGCCAGCAATACTGGAACGGTAAAAGGTATACCAGGCAATGAGTGCATCCACACACTTCACGCTGATGGCCACAATGCTCAGGACCCGATCGATCATTGCACTAAACTCGAGCAGAGAGGCAGCTCAACTGAGCTCAGCTCAGCTCAGCTGGACCATTTGACAATCTCCACTCGATTTCGTCGATCGAAGACACAGGCGTCAAAGTCCACGCGACCTTCGAGTCGTCCGAGCAGGTAGCAATCATACACACCTTGCAGTACTCCCAATACCATCGCTTTGTAAGATGTATATGCTCATCTATGTCTATCCAGGGCCACAACGCCCAGCATTTCAGTCACGCTCGTTAACCTTCTTGTGGCTCTTGTCCTTCTTGTCCTTTTTGTGCTTTTTGTCCTTCTTGAGCTTTTCCTTTGTATCATGACCACGACCGTCTTCTTTCTCAGCCCTGTCCTTCTTGCTCTTCTTGTGACCCGTTACGGACTTTTTCAAATCAGCATCCTCCCCTTCATCAACCTTGCGCTTCTTACTCTTCTTGCGATCCTTTACAGACTTCTTCGAATCAGCTTCCTCCACTTCATCAGCCTTGCGCTTCTTGTCCTTCTTGCTCTTCTTGTGCTTTTTGGAACGCTCTGTATCGACTTCTTCTCCATCTGTCACCGCATCATCGTCTGCTTCGCATGTCTTGCCCTCTTTTTCCTTGTCTCCTCTTTTGCCAAGCGGCGTCGCTGCTTTTCCAGTCGGCTTGCTCTGCGAAGTAGCTATACCTCCTTGGTCGTGCTGGAACGGACACTCATTGCCACGTGCGCAGGATCCACTACGCTGCCAGTTGTAGCACACGCTTTGAAATCGTTTTTGGTACTCGCTGACTTCTTCGACTGCAATCAGCGGAGCTGTCTGCGGCACGTACCCAGTGTGTGCAAATCGACACGACGCCCCTCGCGAGCACATTCCCGACTGGAAATTCCTGCAGACAGCCACTTCAGCGACTGCAGCAACCGGCAGCACGACGCGAACAGGCGCTTTCCAGCTTGTCCCCTTGAGTTCATGATCACCTCCTGCTGGTGCCGTCACATGGCGAAAGCGACATGCTGCTCCACGCTTGCACTTGCTTTTCTGGTAGTTCTGACACACTGGTGCTGCGTCCTCAGCCATCGTCTCTTGTTCGTGCAAAACTTCTTCCACCACCTCACTCTCCGTCTGCACGTCCGCCATTCCAATCTCTTCCATTGCAGTCGCTTCAGCGCTGTCACCTTCACGCAAGTGCTGGAACTTGCAAGCTGCACCGCGTTTGCACTTGCCCTTTCGGAAATTGATGCAAATCGGTGCGTCCGACGTAACTTGGGGACTATCTTGATCACCCCCGGCGATCCAAGAACTTGTGTCCGCTTGTCCGAGCAAAGCAGCACCAGGCGTTGCAATGCCACCAACGGGTCGTTCCGCCGGTTGAACCAGCTCTTCCGCATCCTGACCTTGCATCACATGGGCAAACTTGCACGCGTCGCCACGCGTGCATTGACCTTGCTGGAATTTATGGCAAATGCCCTTCTTCAGCTTCTTCTGGAGCTCTTCCCGCGCGTGAGCAAACCCCTCGTCTCGAGCCCCGTAGTCAATGGTCATGGGGCGGCCCATGACCACCATCCCGTCCAACTTGATCGCAGCTTCACACGGTCCTTCTTCGTGGAATTGCACGTACCCGAAACCGCGAAACTCTTTGGTCTGAATGTGTTCGGCAAACCGCACGGCGCGGATGCTGCCACACTTGTCAAATACTTTCCGTAGGACTTCTTCAGTAATGCCGTAGGCCAAATTGCCCACGTAAACGGTCGTACAGCCTTCGGGCCGCGGTCCAATGGCTTTCACAGGTCGGGTTCCTGCACCAGGTGCACCTCTTTTGTTGTCTCGATGGCCAGTGGTCAAACTCAACCCGTTCGTCGTCCCTTTGGGCTGCAAAAAGCGCACATTGAGCACCCGTTTGTCCCACTTTGTCTGGTTCACTCGATCCACGGCGTCCAGTGCGTTCGTATAGTCGCAAAACGTGACAAACCCAAAACCTCTCGAGCGACCGGTTTTGGGGTCGGAGACCACTTTCGACTGGTGCATTGCACCGAACGGTTGGAACTTCTCGTACAGCGCATTGTCGTCGACGTGGGGCGGAAGACCTGCGACAAACACTTTGTTGCGGTCGCGCCATAAGTCGCCGTCCGCCATTGCTTTCGACGGGCAATACGGTGCTCTATGCGGCGCTGTATCTGTGTCTGTGTCGTGTCGTGTTTACAAGTGCGACAAGAGACGTTGTGGGCTATTGCGTCGTAGCCAATGAAAAACGGAATAGAGTGGGATCGAATTAGAGCGACACGTTTGCGTCGAATACCGACAGTCGTCGAGGGTTACGGGAGACTTTGAAATGGTTTTGGCGTTTTCGGGATAGCGACGACAGGTGGTGGACATTGAAGTTGCATACGATTGTAACGAGGGATCGCTGGCGAAGATATGTGATCGAAGACATCGCACGTCATCTCGAAAGAAGTTGACTGGATCGATGATGACACGTGACATGTACCGTTTGAGTTCAGTCAGGTAGGCGCACGATCACAAGCGCCGAGGCTTTGACCATAACGCTGAAACTTACAGCGATCACGGATAGCCGATACGGTTTGCTCGGCACGGAATGAGCGACAAGTTCGGCTGCTGCAAACGTCGTCCGTGTTGCAAAGTTTTGTTTTTTGTCGGACGGGATCCGTGCACAGCTGCTGGGATAAGGTCAATGAGTCGGTCGGTCGGTGGGTGGGTACCCACACATTGTCGTCGTTGTCGTCGACCAGCAACTCGTCAGAAGCGACAGCAAGACAGCTGGATGGATGCCACGCACACACACACGAGGCACACGCTCTTCAAGCTGTTTCCGCATTTGTCTGTCACATTATAGTCTTGCCCCAAAGCACGTCTACCACTCAAGCAGCCAGATGTCGTCAGCAGACCAGTGTTGGTAGGCACACGGTCAGACACTTGGTCCAATCCATATGACGTCACCACACCAGGCAGCACCCAACCACTCCTCACCCCGTAGCCAACCAGCTAGCACATTCGCCCAACGCAGATGAAATGCGTCACGAATATACGCTCAAGGGCTTTGCTATCCTCGATGCCGCCGAAGCCGGCGTGCTGCAGGACCATCTGCGAAATAAGAGCACGTCAAACACACTGTGAGTACACCCTGCCTCGATCCGTGGGTGAGCAACGAAGCCTACCTGACGCTGGCTCTGCATAACCTTGGCTCTGTGACTGGGACTGAGACTGGGAATCTCCTTCAGCTATGCCATAACGCACAGCACACAATCGAAAGTCAGTATCGCATAGTTAGTAGTCAGCTAGGCCGATCTAGCTAGACCTGCAAAAACCGCACCTGCTCCTGCTGTGAGCTGCGAAAGCCGGTAGAACTGATCTAGAGACTGCAGAGCAGGAGTCAAAATCAACGTGCCATCGACCCATGACAACACACGCAGATGCCAACGATACATCCTACCCCAAGCATAAACTCGCGGACAGAGTTGATCTCCATGGCCGAGATATTGTTCATCTGAATGACAAAAGCCGTTTCACCGCCTTGGACATCACTTGCAATCTTGGCCAGACCTTTGCGGATCTTGTCCTGTCGCACGTTTTGCAGATCTTCGAGCAACAAACGAACATGTTCACTTCGATCCAAGTCTTCCGGTGCACTGCAACGTCGACACGAATCGACAGTAGCAATAACAATGAGCCCAAAAGTATACACCCAACAACAAGGGACTCAACGACATAGCGCTTTTCAATTCCACTTACTTTTTCAGCAACAGCGACGCGATCTCCAAGTAATGAAACGGCAGCTCTTCAAACACTTCACTCGTCTTCTCGCGCTGCAGTTGCGACGTCAAATAGTCTGTGCATACCACAGAGAGGTCCACCAAACAGAAATGGGTACATACCAATACACAACCTACCCACATAGTCGACAAATGGGTACATCCTACCAACTGACAGCCACGACGGTGCGAGAATTCGGCACTTGTTGAGCTGTTTGAGCATAATCGCCAGCCACAGTGGGACATGTGTCGTGATACCAGGCTGAAATGGTCCAAAATCACCCTATTTTTTCCACGGAAAGCAGGTTAGCGTAAAGTGCCCATTTGCAACGACCCATACTCAAAATGGGTCACTTTACACTGATGAAATTGAGCATGCCGCTGTTGTCGCGCAAATGGAAGTGAGGCATAATGGCAATGAGCTCGTGCTCTGCCTGTAAGTAGACCGACACACGCATCGAGTTAGACACCACAACACACACAGAGACACTCTTCATGGCCTTCTGTAGACACAGTCGTGGCCAGACGTACGATGAACTCGGTCTCGCTCGCAGAGAGACGCGCCATGGGATGTGCCGATGAGGTTGCAGCAAATAGGACGAAAAGAGACCTATTTCGAGGTTTTGGGTCCTCTCGTTGAATAGGTCGGACGTGTCGATCATCCTCCGTGGGCACATATTTTTTTACATTCTTAATGAGAGACGTGCTCTATGCCCCGCAAGAGAGAGAGAGAGAGAGAGAGCGCGCACGACAAAAGCAGCGGACTTTTCTAGGTCGAATATCCAGCTTTTTCGACACGGATATTCGTCGGTATGGTCAAGTTGTAGTTCGATCACCTCAGCTAAACACAACAGCAGCAACAACAACAACAACAACAACAACAACTACTACTACTACTACTACTACTACTGCTACTACTACTGCTACTACTACTACTACTACTTTTGCTACAAAATGACGACATGGAGTCAAACATGACGGCAACGATCAATCGCACGTTTTCGTTCGCGGCGTCCGTGGAATTCCATTTTCTCGGCTGGCAGATGCTCACTTGTCTCTGGTGTGTGCACGTTGCGACCAGAGACTGGACGGCCTTCGCGCGCGAGTGGACAGCCGCAGAGCGTTGCAAGTGTTTATCGGATACATTCGTCTCAAGATCATCAAGTGAGACAGCGATACGCAGCCACTTCCTACAACTACTTACACACAATTGCTGCAGCAGTTTTCTTCGGCACGTGCACAGCAGCAGTAGCAGACGGTGTCACGGAACAATTGATGCAAACGAAGTTGCTGTCTGTCACACGCGGAAGTGCCAGCAAGTGGCACTGCACTGCACTCAGAGGGAGAGAGAGGAGAGAGAGGAGAGAGAGAGAGAGAGAGAGAGAGAGGACTCGAACAGTTGCGTCTGTCATGCCAAAAGCTCGTTCTTTCTTCGCAAGATACACTCGGGGGGACCCTGTAACTCTTCTCCACTGCACTGTCTGCTCTTGAGCAGTCGCTTGGCTTCAACTGTGGCAGCTTACTACACCCTTGTGGTCCTAGTTCAAGACCCTGTCACGATGGAGTTGTGCGACTGTGTCGGCAGAGAGGGGAGGGGGGAGAAACACCTGATGTCGATGGAAAAGCATAAGAACAGTGATCACCTCCTGTATACACAACAGTGCCACTCGCTCCTCCTCCTCTTCTTCTTCTTCTTCCGTAACAACAACAACAACGACAACAACAACAACAACTCTTATGACACTGTAAACAGTCTCAGCAACTCCAAAGTGTACCTTCTTCACCCATATAGTCCCTCCACGTCCTATTTCTCGCTTGCTAACTGAATCTCCGCACGTGGCCAATGCGTTTGTTAGTGGTAGACAGTTATCCAGATTCAGTCCGCTGCGACCATCTGATGAGGTCGGCCGTCATGTAGCCATCTGTTGGCCCCACACTCGTAAACCGCCTCTAGTGTCTCACTTAGCAATTCACGCGCTCACGAAACAAGCGCTTTTGCCCAGTACAGCGAACCCGAAGCTACAACCCAAATTCCGTTGTTCAGTACTACTACATCCCCAACTATAACATCAACAGCTATAACAGCAATAGATTCCTACGACTGATATTCGTTTGGCCGATAGCACAACCGAACGCAATGCACGTCGCCGTGCGCGATGTGACTGCGCTGTTGCACGTCCATCTTCGCGTCCACAAGTCCCACTTTGACCGGTCCCGCATGACGCAGCCGGAGTTTGCGCTCTCGACGCACATTGTGTTCCGTAGTGTCCAGCACGGAGGTACGCGGTTACAAGCGTCGTGGCAGGTCTTTCGTAGCTTTGTGGAATTCCAAGGCCTCGATGCGCAGTTGCGCGTGGCGTTTCCAGACGAGATGAAGCGGTTGGCTGCACCGGTACCCCATCGACGTCGAACGTGGCTACGTCGGCACTGCAGGCCCAAGTTTTTGATCAAGCGATGCGTCGAGTTGAATGACTATTTCCGGCACTTGCTGCAGCTTCCCGAGTTACGGCTCACGCGGTTTTTGGATCCACGTGCGTCGCAGGTGCTGCGGTGTTTCTGTAACTTTGAGACGGGTCTGTCGACGGCAGAGGTGTCGGTCGTGCCGAATCAGTTTGAGGACTGTGTACTGTGTCTGGACTCGCGAGAGCGAGACATGGGCCAAGTGAGTCGCTGGATCAATAGCAGGGAAAGAGAAGGAGATGGAGGTGGAGGAGGAGAAGGAAGAGGAGGAGGAGGAGAGACTGTCAATAGTAGTGAACGCAGTGCACAAGTAGTGGAAAGCTTCGAGGTGGACGAGAACGCTGACGATGGAGCAGCAACGAGCGGTGAAGAGATGAAGCAGCAACAGATACTGACAATGACTGAAAGCAGACCGTGTGACGGTGCCAATCTGGATGAACTCGAAGCGAACCTCATGGACGACAAGACGCGCAATGTGGCCATCTGCACCAAGTTTGAATGTTCTTGTCGCGTCTCGCCGTTTCGCGTCGCACATGGCAAAATGAAGCGCATGTTGCGCCATCGTGGGTTCGAGCAATGCTATGCACCGCCTGCGGACAGTGCGCTCACGGCACTGTACTGTGTGCTGTACAAGCTGCAGCAGCTGAACGACTTGGACAAGCGGTTGTTTGATGCGTTGACAAAGGGTTCGATCACGACAGCAACGACGATGATGTTGAACGAACACAATGACGACTTGATGCACGCCAAAGCATTGGAAAGAGCGGCAAACGAGCACTTGCAACTGTCTATGGGTGTCGAGCTGCTTCAGCACACGCTGGCGGATTATGGACTGCTTCACGTCCATGCACTGGAACGACACTTTCGGACACCGGCTATCGATCTGAAGAAGAGGCTGCATGAGTTCAAGTCCCGACGGCAAGTCAGAGTGGGCAAAGTAGAGCTCGTGCTGCTTGCTACGATGCTGGATTTGTGCATTCACTTGATAACAAATGATCACGAGGGCTCGGAACAAGCGATTGTGCCGCTAGCTGGTCTACGGCCGATCCGAAAAGGTGGTCGCCTTACATTGACGTGTGGATATATGCTGCCTACGGTCGTTTGTGTCAGTGGATTCTATCTGCTTGCCGAGCGACAGCAAAGGCGAGACGTTTCGGGAACGGCAGCAAAGTTGGAAGGCGAAGAGCTGGTAGAGGAGATACCGCAAGGGAGACGGATGTGGCAGGGCATTGACGAACTGGATCGGCACTTTATGGCAGAAATCAAGCAAACGATTTCCGATGGAGCTGCTACGATTGCACTGGCGTTTGACTTTGACGTGGCGGATTGCCTCAACTCGGCGATTCTGGATGCTGTGTGGGACGATTGTCAGCACAACCCCAAGCTCTTTTACCTCTTCCATCGACAGGCAAGACAGTTTGGCAAGGGACACATTACGGCCCACTTTTTCATGCACTATCTCGAGCTGAGCTTCGGACTCGAGGGCGCGAGTTATCTCGTGGATTTCTTGCTGCATGTTTTGCCCGAAGCAGAGTTACGTAAGCAGCTGGTGCACGCTCGATGGAGTCGAGTGCGTGGTCAACTCGCTAAACGTGTCTCAACCATGAGGCATCTTAACAGCATACAGGAACAGTAGGTACTAGAGCCATGTACAGACGTAACGGATAATGATGTTGCAGCAGATTCGATGTGTACCCTAGTGCAGGTGGTATCAAACGACTGACAAGATGCGATAGCGAGATCCCGATTATCGAAACCACTCGACCGGGTCAAGTTGAAGACGTGCAAGAAACAAAAGTATAGTGAGTCAGTACGACCGCTTAGCAACGTATTGCAGCTCTTGTAAAGCGCTGTGTGGTAAGCTGCAGATATTTCTGCTGGACGCAATGTGGTAAACATTCGGACGTCAATTGACAAAGCAAATGGCACATACAAAAGAGCTTGTAATCGGGATGTATGGCTGACAGATACTATGGTAAAGCATAGTTGACGTGAGATCGCGATGTTTTGTTGCAAGTCTTGTTATGACTACTCATGATCAAGCGCAACGGTGAACGAGATCAGGACAGGTCTGTCATATCGGAGCTGTGTAAACCAACACCCGACTTCACCACAGTCTAAGCAGTCACCTTTGCACTTCATTGAATACCACTTCTTGCTAGAGCTGCGGTCAGTACATAAACAGAAGCAGTTCATCCACTCGCAGCAAGTTCCAACATTGACTGACACGGATGCAGCTGACAGAATACAAACACAAAGCAATGAACAGCATATAGCTGCCGAGAGTGCTCATGTGAACAGGCTTTGTATTGGACGAGTCAATACGTGTCTTTCTTTCGATCGACATAGCGATCAAGTGGCGTCTACCACCCGAGTCTAATGGTCTCTAAGCTGCAAAAACAGCGGGGGACAAGAGGATAGTATCCCCCATGTACAGCATAAGAGAGAGTCCACAAAACTCACAAAAGTCACAAAAGTCACAAAAGTCACAAATAGACAAACACAAACCACAGACCGTGGGAGCACATCGCACAGTTTTGGCAACGCTCTCAACACACCCTCTCGACCCGATCGTGTCCAATTTACTCTCTTTGTGCTCTCCTTTTTCTCTGCTCTTCTGTCTCGAAACACAAACCCCGACCCATTTTCCCTGTCGCGCAACACAATAATTATTCGCGTCGCTCTATTCAGCCAAACAGCCCAAAACGCCCCTCATTATGGACGCGCTCCTGCGCGTTATGGCCGCCAAGAAACAGCACGTGGCGGCAATCCAAGCGCAGAAACAGAAGCAGAAGCACACGCAGAGCATCGACGGGAAGTATTTGCGTCGCGCAGAAGTGGAAAAGCTGTTGGAACGCGGCCACGGGGCGCTGGAACAGGGGACAGAGGCGGAGTTCAAGGCGCACGAGAAGCAAAAAGCGGACCTCGAGGCGCCCAAGAGCGCACTCGCGACGCCCACGACCAGTATCGAGTATACTGAACCCAAGTCAAATGACAAGGTGCCGCCGGAGGCGCTCTTGGCGTGGCCCGATCTGCGTCGACGGCTGCGCGAATTGGGCGAACCCATTACGCTCTTTGGGGAGACGGTACTGGACTGCATGACGCGGCTGCGTCGCGTCGAGATGGACGCTGCATCGAAACACGACGACGACTTGGGCGCTGGCCACGGCATTCGCAATCGCTTTGTGGGCGGAGAAGAGGGCGAGCAGCGCGAGCAGGCGGACGATGCCGCAGAAGACGCCGAGGAATTTGAAGCGTCGGTGGGTGGTGAGGGCGGCGACAGGCAGCACACGAGGAAGAAGAGGGCACGGGGTGAAGTCGAAGACGACGACGCAGACGAGAGAGACGCGGACAAGATGGTCTATCGGTTCTTCAAAGGCATGCTGCAAGGGTGGGAGACGGACTTGGCGGGTCGCCCGGACCACGTCAAGCGCACGGCGCAGGGCAAGATCGCCGTCAAGACGATGAAGCAGTGCAAAGACTATATTCGACCGCTGTTCAAGCTGTGCAAACAGCGCCAAGTGCCGCCAGATATCTTGCCCAACTTGGTCGCGATTGTCAAGTTCTGCCGTCAAGGCGAGTTTGTCATGGCGAACGACGCGTACATCAAGCTCGCGATTGGCAATGCAGCGTGGCCGATTGGCGTGACTATGGTCGGCATCCACGAACGCACGGGCCGCGAGAAGATCAACTCGAACAAGCAGGCACACGTCATGAACAACGAGTCCCAGCGCAAGTACCTCACGTCCGTCAAGCGCTTGATGTCGTATGCGCAGTCCGTCTCGAATGTACCGCCTTCGAAGCGCGTGTTGTAGCCACGTGGTCGTACTGAGTGCGTGTGTGGTGCCAAAAAGGTGCTGGAAGAGTAGGCGGATGACGCATCGAGGAAGCCATGTGTCAGTAGCAGCGACGTCGTTGATCAAGATCACGTGTACTGTTCGTTGGTCGTCGCATCGTTGGTATCATCATCATCAGACACGTGCACGCACTACACGACGCGACAAGGCAGCAAGTCGCTAATGGTGGCCTCGACCAGGCGGACCTCGACCAAAGTTGCCACCGCCACCTCGGAAATGCTGGGGCGGACCGCGCTGTTGAAACATTTGGTAGTCACGGTGAATCACAGCAAGCAGCTCACTCGTCAATGTGCACGCAATGCGAAAGCTGCGTTCGTTCTCAGCGGACACTAGAATCATCAATGGTTCGTCCGAATCTTCGAGACCCCCTTCTTTTGACCCAGAACCACGACCGCGGACTCGAATCTTGGCATTGCCACCGGCTTCTACACTGATCCGCTTCATGTTTGATCCAGCAGGTCCAATAATGCGACGCGTGACGCCAAATTCGCTCTCGTTTTCGATACCCACCACAAGTTTCTGCAAGAACGTCGGCTCATTGGGATCTTTTGGCCCGTCGTGGCCGCCACCCATCGATCTACCCCCAGGGCCGCTTGATCCTGGCTTATTGCGAAAGCGCTCGGGTCCTCCAGGACCCATTGGCGGTCCATTCAATGGCGCACCACTGCGCGCCGCAAACACATCTGCCAATTGTTGTGTCACGCGCAACGAGAGCGGACCGACGTCGACACTTTTGTCGCCAATTGCTTCCTGGATCTGTGGGTCCGACACGGGCAAAGCGGGTGCGTTCAGCATGACAACAAAGCGTGTCTGCACTGGAAACGGCGACGGCATGTTCGGGCCGTGGCAAAATGCACCCGGAATCATGTTCGCGATGGCAGGAGACACGGCTTCAAAGATACCCAGAAGGTGCTGGTCCGACAAATTGAGCAAAAACAACGGGGTGCCTGGAGTCAGATGCTGCTGGGCCAGCGCCTCCTTGTCGTTCGCCAGACCAAACAGCATACGGCCGAAACACTCATCGATCGTCTGCGTCGTACACGAGAAAACGAACCCTGGCTTCGTGACCTTCCGCGCGGGTCCAGGTCCACCGAATCCAGGCCCACTAGACGCACCAAACAAGCTTTCTGCCGCCTCCCGTCGGCGAGTCGCAAGTTCTTCTGCGCCTCCTGGAAGCTTGGGTTCATCTTCCACGGACCGGTAATGAAGTTTGATCTCGGGCTGATTTGACAACAAGCGCACGAGAGCATGCCCTGTATCCACGTCAAGCTCCTGGCCGTTCGGACTGTAGTGGAAGAAACAAGCATCACAAGGTTAGCATCAACCTACACTTGGCCACAACCCACAACATCGCTTTGACAAGTTTCGCACCACTCTGACACAGCGAGCTCTTTGTTTTCGAACTGTGCAAGTCGTTCCCACGGACACTCACAGATACGAAGCCACTCGATGCCAAACGCGCCCGACCATGTCGACCGTCCATCCGCTTCATACGGCACAATGCCAGTTGACAAGTCTTCTCCACTCGATAAATCCACGTTTGCCAGTGCACCGCTACCCAGCCGTGCGATTCCCTGGTAATGCTTGCTCGGTCCAACGGCAAAGAGCAGAAACACCTCTTCCGACGTCTCGGACGCCGTCTTGATCGACTGCAGCACGTCTGCAGGCACTGCCCATCGTCCATGATGCACTGCGTGCGCCAAGTTGAGATAACTCGCCGACTGGAGCAAAAAGTACTTGGCTTGCTTGCCCTCGTCGGGCAGCTTGGCCCCACCAATTTTCGACGGACCTCCTTGGGGTCGATCGCCGCCTTGAAAAGCAGGCAGTCCACTGGGTCCATATTGCCCGCCGCCACCGTGTCGAGCCGCTCGCGCTTCCATCTCTTCCTTCTCGCCCTTTGGAAACGGCCGCAGTTCCTTGTCGCCATGGGCAAAGTGGCACTCGTCGCCAAATGGACACGACCCCATCTTTTCCCAATGTTTGCAAATAGCGATCTTGAAAAACTCATTCACGGGCTGTGCTTTCCGGCGCTTGACGTTTTCTTCGTCGGCGACTTTGCTCTGGAGGGCAAAGTCGGCCGTCTCGGGGCACTCGTCGCGGGCCAACTTGATGTGGCGGTACCGGCAACTCGACCCGTGCGAGCAAAAGCCCTGTTTATAAAACGCACATTCCACGCGCTCTTCGTCCGGCACGTGTCGGAACGGACACTCGGGCACTTGGCACTCCATGCCCCAGCGACACTCGGGCATCTTCGACATGTCGTACTGGTGCAAAAACTCGCAGTTGTCGCCCTTCATGCACAGCGCCCGCAGCCAATGGCGGCAGACGACTGTCCCGCGTTTAAAGTCCTTCTTCACACTCGGCTGGCCGAACGTCGCCCCGCCAACGCCGACGATGGCTCCGTGGCGCCGGTCGCGGTGGCTGTCCAGCGCGCGGTCGTCGCCGTCTTCGGGGAGCATCAGCTCAAAGTCGAACGAGAGCTGACGCTCTTCGGCGTCGCGCAGGAGTAAGCCCAAGACCATGACGAGGTGTAGTGGGTGGACGCAATGGTGGAGGGTTACGCACCCACCCACCCACACACAACTGGGGCTGGTTTGTAGGTTGGGCGTTTTGTGCTGTTTTGTAGGTGGACCGTGTGTTGTAGGTGAGGCAGACGAGGAGACGCGTGAACCTCGGGAGTAGCCTACCGGTTTTATAGGACCATCATGGCTACGTTGTTTTTTCTTTCTGTAGTGGTTTGTAGTGGTGTGTGTTTTGTGTGGGGGGGGGAGCAGGTGGGTGCAAAGCGTCCGTGACAAAAGACGGTTGGATGTCGTGTGTATACTGTGGAAGTGGGGACTTGGCGATAGGCGTGTTGATTGGCTTAAATGCGTCTGCGGTTTCGAGCGCAGGATTCCGTTTGCAACGTCCGATGGCAGCGCCGACGCGAGAGCTGAAGGAATGGCTGCAGGAGTGGCCCGCGGTGTGCGAGCTGGTGGAGGAGCTGGTGCTGAGTCTCAAGCGCAGGTAGGTCCTTGTTCGGCTGATGGATGAGCTTGTGACGGTGAACGATGGATGTGGACATGGCGCTGACAGCGGATGGATTGTGTGGTATACGTGTGTGTATACGTCAGACAACTGATTGGCTCGTACGAGACGGCTCGCATGACGACGCGCGTGCTGAGCAAAGTGGTGTGTATACCTCTGTATCATCTACCATAGCGTCGCGTGCCCGAGAACACATGCGGTATACACAGTGGACATACCTGACCACGATGTTGTATGCTGCAGCTCGAGACAGTCAAGTGGACGACGGCCGGCGAGATCCTCGACAAGATCCGTCAGCTGGGACACATGCTCACGAAAGCCCACGCCCACGAGCTGGTCATTGGCAACGTGGTGCGCCGCGTGCTCTACATTATCCGCGAAGAGCACTCGAACGCGCTGAAGCTGTCGTTGGCGGATACCGCCAATGGCAGCGCCGTTGCGCCCGTACCAGCTCCTCTCTCGAGTCACAGCAGCACTTCGTCGCGGTCGTTGGGTACGATCTTGACACCAGGTACTGACACGGACCTCTCGATTCCCATTGCCGACTTGAAGATGGTAAGGTCGTGGCTGTTTGCTGCTGCTGCTGCTGTTGTTTCGTCAGTAGCAACGTTGACGTGCGTGTCGTTTCTTGTCTTGCAATAATTCAGTCTGTGATGGAAGGCATTGCCGAGCTCGTGGATGAGATCGACAGTCTGCACGTGAACATTGCTGACCAGGCCATGGAGTACATCCACACCGAGTACGTGCAAGTTTGTGTGCAACGGAGGTAGTATGACACGTTGCCGACCCCATGTGTGTACCCACTTGTGTTCTCGATTTCCACAGCGAAGTGATCTTGACGTTTGGAAGATCGCTGTCGGTTGAGGCTTTCCTCAAGACAGCGGCCAAGAAGCGCTCGTTCAAGGTGATTGTAGTCGAGTCTGCGCCTTCACTGAATGGCCAACGCACGGCCCACGCACTGGCAGAAAGCGGTATCCACGTCACGGTGATACCGGACAGTGCCGTCTTCGCCTTGATGGCACGCGTGAACAAGGTCGTGGTTCCGGCTGCTGCAGTGGTCGCCAACGGAGGGCTGATTGCTCAGTCGGGACTGCAGAACATCGCCTTGGCCGCCAAAAAGTGCTCGGTGCCTGTAGTGTGCGTGGCGGGTCTGATCAAGCTGTCTCCGTTGTATGCTCACGATCTGGACGTTCTGAGCGAGCTTCTGGCTCCATCCAGCATTTACGACTACGAGGACACTGTTGACAACGTACGCGCTATTTGGCTCTTCCGCTTACAGTGCTTCATATGATGCTGACTTCGTGTATCTCTGCTGGTTTGCAATTGTGTAGCTCGAGGTGCTGAATCCGGCGTACGACTACGTCCCGCCCGAGTGTGTCAGGATTTTCATCACCAACACAGGAGCTCACCAGCCGTCGTATATCTACCGTCTGCTCGCCGAGTATTACTCCCCGCAAGACTACCAGCTCAGCTAGATGTGTTTAATGTGATGCGACAACGCAGAATCGTTTTTTTACTCCAATAGCCAGCGCGATTTGTTTGGGTTGGTGCTGTACAGGAACGGATGCGAATGGTACATGCGCTGAATGACAGCTAGCTGCTGCGAGACCAGCAGGCCTTCTCCAATGAGATCATTCAGATCCTCTTCGAAACGCTCGTGCTCCTCTTCCTGAAATAGGGCGCGGTAAGCCTCAAAGAGGTCGCGAAGCTGGTGGAGTAGTAAAATGAGAAAGCCGAGATCACGGACGCCCAATACGGCGTCATCACTCGCGCCTAGACCTCGATTCTGCTTATTGAGTAGCCGCTCGATGTCACGCAAGTTGTTGCGCAAGAACCTGGCAATTTCACTCGAGTCGTAGTATAGTCGGTCGCTCATGCGCTTATATATCATGTGAAAGGCCGAGGTGACCAGTTTGTACAATCCGCCAAACACGAGAAACGTGGGAATCGTGGCCAGGATCTGCAGGTTCAACTGGTTTGCGTGCATCAACTCGTCGATGGCGCCCATTGCTACCATCAGCTCCTTCTTGATAAATTGCACCTGGATCAGCAGCATGCGGACAATGTCGCCCGTGATCAAATTGCGCACTGCACCGGCCAGCTGCTTCTCGTACTGTAGTGACACCACTGACATGTCCATTTCGTTCGTGATGCGGTCCATGTCAGCCTGTGTGATACTCGGGTTCGTGTCTTTGACGAAATCCGCTAGCATGCGGCGCAAGCTCTGCTTCGTGTCCAGGAGCGCCATTGCATCTTGGATCTCGGGCTTCTGGTTTAGTACCACCTCTACAAAGATAGCTTGAAGTGGCTCAATCATGTGCTCGTTCAGAAAGTCACGCAGGGCCGCACGCATTGCGGCAATGCCACTTCGAAACTCCTTCTGATTATTTACCACCCACGCGCCTCCTGCAGCCAGACAAATGGCGATAGTTGTGACTTGTAGCCAGCGTTGACGGATCTTGGACGGTGGACGACAAGGCGCGAGCACCGTCTCGAAACACCGCGAAAACTGAGTCTGTGCAGTGCGGAACACCGCCAAGTTCTTCTCCACGCGTTGCAGCGAGCGTAGCACGTCGTCATGTGACGTGATACCGTCACTACCTTCGTCAAAGATGCGACAATCTAACACACAGCACAAAGCAATACACATTGTCCGTCAATGCGCAGCTCAACGGTCTTCACGCACGGAATCGACAGCGCACCTGCGTCAGCGTAAAAAGCCGTGTGCACCAGCGGCTCCTGCGACTTGACCGCTCCGCGGCCTTTCCGTGGCGGACTGATCCCGTGCGTACTGTAGACAAGCGCCAGCAGCGCCATGCCTTCCTTCACCCTCGTCTGCAGCTGCTCGCAGTCGATAGCTGCGCTCGTGCACTTCATCGTCAAGTTCTTGAGCACCCCAATCTTTTTCTACGCCCAACACAACAACACACGAACGGCATCAGTCGACATCACACACCACGTACAACAAACACCCGCACGTGCCCACTCCTCCTCCTGCCCCCAATCCCCTATAAAGCCCATCGAATATCCCTATTGCACCCGTAGAACAGCCCAGCAGCAGCAGCATCAGCAGCAGCTCTATCCCCTCGTACCAAATGCGCGTCCAGCGTCTCGCTCAGGCTCCGGATCCGTTCGCCGGCGGTAATCTGCTGTGCCCGCGTGAGGAGCCACTGCATTGGTCCGCGCTGGACGATCTCCCGAACAGTGCACTTGCGCAGGTGTTTCCAGAACACCAGTGCGCGCGGCAGAGCGTCGATCGTGCGCATCACGTGGATCAGCGCCGCGTGCAGTTGGTACGTCGTCACGTGCGCCCACAACAGGCGCACACCGCGTTCGAGCACAGCGCACTCGGTCTGCGTGTACACGACCGTATGACGCGCATCTTCGTTGTCGTCGCTCTCGTCATTCTCGTCGCTTGTATCGAGTCGATGGCGCTGCAGGAGGTCGGCGACGTCAGTCAGCGCCTTTTGGATCGCTGCTGCAGCGCTCGAGGGCACGGGCGCGCTGTACGGCTGCGAGACGAGCGACAGCGCGCGCGACAGCACACGTGCGTGGGGACACCGGTCGTCTGCGAGCGACGCGAGGGCTTCGGCCGCAGCGAGCACGACACTCGCGGCGTCGTGCGGGATGGCTGGATCCATTTACGTATCGATGTGTATCGATGTGCAGCGCTGCGATTGGCTCGCAGTGGCTGTGTGAGGCGGGGGGGCAACTACCTGCGACCGGTCGCTTTGTGAAAGAGAGTGATGGTCGTTGCTGCCATTGCGCGCGGAGTGTCGCACGCGGCTAGAGTGATGGTCACTTCAACTGCGCATCCTCGAGTGCGCAGTCGAACGGCTAGGTGTGCTAATTATAGCGGTTGTTTGATGGGTGGGAGTGATGGTCCGTGCTGCAATTGCGCACTTCGGACCATCGTTTACCGCAGTCGAGAATTCAAGCATAGAGTCGACAAGAGAGAGAGAGAGAGAGAGAGAGGGAGGGTGAGACAGCTCAGCCTGTGCTTCATAGCAGGGATAGAGCGACGACAAGAAAAGAGACACGATGGCGCACGAGCACGCGCCACTCTCCCCCGCAGTTCTACCGCGCTCGACGCCGTACGAGCGCGACATGGAGCACCTCTGGCCAGTAGTGATCGACGTGGACACCGCGCAGCCCACGTGGCACAAGGGTAATAAACGAGGCGACGGCGACGCGCTGCAGTGGACGTACAGCCCTCTGCGCGGCAGGAGGGACGACTGGACGTGCTGCACTAGCACTACTACCACTTGTACGATCGATTATACGGGACGCGTGCCGCCTGTCGAGTCGGCGGAAGCGAAGCGCGCGCGTCGCTCTGCGATCGAAAAGATGTCGCGTCGGAAGCGACAGGAGGCGCTCACGGGTATGCGGCAAGAGGTCCGGTTTCTGGAAAAGAGAGTCGCTGAGCTGACGGTGAGGAGCGCAGGTACGCAACGTGAGGGACGATGGGAGAGCGACGAGCGGCCGCTTGCTGTCGTCCCGATGTACAAGTTGCAGCAAAAGTATATACAGCTCGTGCAGGTCCGACTGGAGCTCGAGCGCGACCGCAGGGAGCTGGGCAAGTCGTTGCTGCAGCAGCGCAAAGGAAGGCGGCAGGAGCACACTGCGAGCGCGTCGACGGCTTATTGCGAGGGAACGGGGCGACGGCTCTGGGAGAGCGGGCGGCCGCTGTGCCCGCCGTCGTTGGCCGTGCGGGTCCGTGAGCTTGCGCTGGACGAGTGTTTCCGTGTCGTGTGTTGCGCGAGTCGCGACATTGAGACGTTCTGTGCGGCGAATAGTCTGAAAAGCACAGGCGCGACGTTCATGGGCTGGACAGACAAGCGCAAGGTCGACCGCGAGTCGCAGACGATGCAGTACTGCTTTACCAAACGCTTTCCGCTCGAAACGCCCGAGCGCTTGCTTGCTGGCGGGTGGCAGGTGTTTTCGAATGGCGACAAGATGCGGGCAATGGCGTTTGACAGCTCCGTGCACACGCGGTTTGAAGTGCTGCAAGTGCTGAATGACAAGCTGATCGTCATCCGTCGCGACCACAAGTTCCCGACCATGGCGCTGACGTTTACCTCGGTCCTGCTCGTTGCTTGGTGGGAGACAGCTACAGGGTACACGTTGTGCAGCCGCACGATTCCAACACCTGAGATTGAAAAGGCGCTGGGACCTGATGAGAACTATTACGATGCTTTCCACTGGTACGTCATCCACGTGGGCTGTGCTTGTGTTGAGACGTTGTGCTTGCTGGTGCACACGTTGCTCTAACATTGGCGGGGCTGTTCCTGTGTTCTTGTGTACGTTTTTTGTACCTACAGGGTTCGCTTTGACCGATTGTTTGACGAGCTGGACAAGCCAGCTGGCTGCGATGTGATGTTTGGAGGGTCTGTCAGAGACCCGAACCAGTTGTATTCGAGACACTGGCTTTTCGAGCTCGTGTGCTGCGTCTTGCGATGGGAACATGCATGCGTCGCTCCGCTCTTGCTGAAACGGATCTGATCGTTGCAAAAACTTTCGACCGTAGTATGTGCAACTGTCTGTGATAATGGAGGCTGGGCTTGAAAGATGCTAGCAAAACACACGGTACAACAACGACGACGTCAAATTGGTGTTCTCTGCACGACATCATGTGATATAGATCAACACAAGAAAATAAGTGTCGTCTGATGTGATGCCAAGCAGTATCTCGGACAAGAGCGTCGAGCGTTTGCAAGACATGTCGCAAATGGGAAGACGGAGTACTGGTGTCAACGACAACGTGTGGCTTGCTCGGTCGAATGACGGGGGGATCGTGCGAAGTCTATAATGCCAGCTTGTCGTGCAGTGTCTTGCGCCGAGCAATCAGAGACTGCTACAAGACGCAACAAAGATGCTTATGCGAACAAAAGATGGTACATGCTCAGCTGTCGCGAAGAAGTTAATGTAAACAAGGATACAGCGTCGACCCAAGCTTCGTGCAAGTATTCACAGAGTGTGCGCATCTTCCACAGCTTTTGCTCGGTGGAAGAGAGTTGCCACCGAGCAGCCGAGAGCCGTATTTTGGTGACGTGCGTGTCATACAAAGCCGTTATCTTGATTGGAAACCACATTCATAGCAGTCGCTCATCGTGCGCCAAGAATGAAGGTTTGACGAAGCAGCGAACACCGTCATTGGTGGCGCCTGCAAAAACTGCTGGTACTTGACAGTGATACGACAACGCGCACTACGTGAGGTCAGACTTTCTTGGGTTTTTTTCGCAAGAGACATGACAAACGAACACGTCCCTCTCGAGTGCTGTATAGGAAGTGCATAGATGCAGAGGGTGATGCTATTTGCACTCTCGAAAGCATCGAGAATGACACGACTTTGCCACCAAGAGCCAGATACCGTCTCCACGTATGCATCGAATACCGGCAACGCAGCCATGTCTTGATTGCACGTTTATGGGAGTCAACGAGCCGGTACACGTCACCATCGACGAGCGGACGCAATAAAGACTTGGGCTAGACGCAACGTGGTGCGTTACGACGATGCGACGCAGAAGCAAAGTCGGCCGCAAAACTACCGCGTATGTGGCAGAGAAGCTACAGAACCGCGCGGAGCTGAAGTCAGTATCCTGCGTGGACACATGGTGTACCAAAAACGATACTGCGTACACACGAGAAGTGTCACTTCGAAGCTGGCACATGTGCTCAGCAATTCTCTGCATGTCTTGCTTGAGGCAAGCAGACACAAGTTGCTCGTACGTGAGACAGCGTGCTATTGTTGTGCGAAGAGCGAGAATCGAGTGAGCGCCGTCAGGGGACCTCGCGGTCTACAAGTAGTTCGAAGACAGAGGCACCTTTTTGTGTCAGTGTTTTTCTGTTGACGAAAGTGTCAAGACAGGAGGAGTGCATATCTCTGTGCGACATCGAAGATATGTAAAAACACTAGGAGTTCGAATGTATAGACATGGACGCAGTATCCACGAAGACCAACGGATGCTTTCGCGTAGGCCAATACGTCTAGGGTTTGTTGCTAACGTCTTTGCACGTCCAACGTTGGCAAGGTCTGCTCTACGGTCTATATGAGCATCTCTCGGCATATCGACGATTGAATATCTGGGCAGCTGTTGTTCACCCATACATTACCGAAGTGTGGCTATTTACGTGTCGACCCGCGAGTTGTTTAAGGAATCAGTGGCTCGCCAAGATTGTGTAATCATGCTCGACCACGACTTCTTCATTCGTAAAATTGACGCTTCGATAGCTACTAGCATGGATACTCTTTCGGTCTTACGAAATTACTACCATTACGTAGGTTGGCCATCGATGGCACACTTGCTGCTGGCATGCGTCTTGCAGACGATTCTCAGTGCAGAACAGTCTACTCGTGCTATCTTTCACGTCAATTGTAGCGCGGTTGAAACAACATCACGAACAAAATGACTGTATAACGTCACAGACTTTTGTCACCGTCGTCTTGACTACGTATACAGTTTTGGTTGCTGTACCGCCACGCCCCAGCTGCTATGAGACGTGACTGGACGATATTCTCGAGACTGCATTGCTGTAAAAACAGGACTGCATTGCCGATTCTAGAAACCAGAAAAGCAGAACGTGTGGGCGGTACGGCGTATATACCGGTTTCTGACAGCCCCAATGTCCCACCGCCAGTGCTCCTTTCGCAACACCTGACAGGTTTGTTGAAGTCGTCACGTTGCGAGATAAGCACGTGCCAGGTACGACCAATTTGACCAAACCAGCGTAAAGATACATTGCATTAAGCTGAACTCGTGGTCCACCTGTGTGTACACACATACACCCTATTTATCGGTGTCGAGTTGACCGCGTGAGTGCCTCTTACAGTCTAGAAAAAATCCTTCCTGTCAGGTGCAGTGGACCTTTGCCATGTAGCAGCAGGCAACGGCAGACCTGTCGTACGTTTCATTTCAAAAGATAGCGCTTTCTATTTGCATCACAATCGTTTTCACGGACCAGATAGAGCTGTATGCATCAGGTCCAACGATCTTCGACTGTCATACGCTTCATTTCAGAAGATAGCGCTTTGTTTTTGCATCACAATCGTCTTCTTGGACTAGATAAAGCTGCGTCAGGTCCCACGATCTTCTACTGAGCGAGTGCGCTTCACAGCCGAGAAAATCCAGACCGAGCGTGAGCTACGGTAGAATTCAGCAACCACACCTCAGAGATCTTAGTGTCTGTAAGGAGCGCAACAGCGAACATCCGCCCCCCGCCCCGCATCCCTCTGTCTCGTTACTGCTGCTGTTACTTCATGCCGAAATCATGTGCGTTTGCTGGCGACTATTAAATCTGGCAGGCATAAAAAAAGTGGCTGTCCCGCCGTTCTGACAAGAGCGGGCGCACGGTAGGTGTTCTCGGTGCAAAAACAGGTCACAAACCCAGTATTTTGGTCCCGCCTTGGCAGCACCCATTCTATGTATAACCGCACAGAGCAGTATCAAGTCGTTTGTAGTGGGAGTGTTTGTTCGCCCAGCGTCTCACTCTCCAAACTACGCTGGACGCACCACAGGGCTCTACCGCGACTTTCTTGGTAGCGAGCGGGCGACGGCACACAAGTACTACAATTGTTCATTCGTCATCGACTGCTACAACAGCACGACCGCCAGAAAAGGACCACCACCACCACCACTACTACTACTACTACTACTACTACTACTACTACTACTACTACTACTACTACTACTACTACTACTACTACTACTATTGCTACTACTACTACTACATCCACCACCTGCACCACAAGGACCACTACTATTGTACTACTTACTACTTTTGCCGACGACACTACTACTCCTACTACCAAAAAGTACTATTATTGCACGACGCCTCATGGACGCGCTCGAGCTCTCGACGTTACCGCCGCTGTCGCCCACGATCGAGCGCGTCTTCTCCGAGGCATTTGCCGACATGTCCGACCTCGAGGACGACGAAGACGACGATATGGCCCCACTGCGTGTCAAGACGCCGTCCCAACCGCACAAATGGCCGTCCAGCACGGAGCCCACTCACCCAATGGTGCCAACGAAAAATAGTACTCGGACGCACCCGACTACGAGTACTGCGACTACTACGAACAAGTGCGACAAAAGTGGAACTAGTAGCACTGCCAGCAGTGCTCGGACGCTTTCAGTGTTGTCGCCTACGCCGGCGTCAATGGCGTCGGCGCTGCACAACCAGCAGAAGCACAAGAAGGAGATCCGGAACATCAGTCCCAGCGGCAGTAAGAAGCTCCAGACGCTGACCCGCGACGGCGACGAGAAGCGCGCGCGGCGCTCGGCCATTGAGAAGAAGTCCCGTCAGCGACGGCAACAGGTGCTCAAGACAATGCGGGACGAGGTCCAGCAGCTCGAGACGCTGTATCGGGCAATGCTCACGAACAAGACGACGCCGCCATTGAGCAGGCAGTGTCCCTACGTGCGCGACGACAGTCGAGGCACGAGTGCTATTTATATGGACGAGCTCGAAAAAAAGTACTCGGCGCTGTCAATGGTTGCGCATGCACTGGAGGGGGATCAGGAAATGCTGCTGCAGTTGCTGCAACAGCATCAAGATTTTTACGCCACGGTCGAGACGGACCTGGCTGATGGCCAACGAGACGGCGACCACGAGGTGCTGGAGGTGTGGGACACGGGCATCCCGCCCAGTTCGTCGTTTCAGGCCAAGTTTACGAAACTCACCATGGCGGAATGCTACGCCCTCGTGCGGGAATCGTACGAGACGATCCAGCGGTTCCAGAAAACCGAGCACTTCAAGTCCACGGGGGCGAACTTTATGGGCTGGACCGATAAGCGAAAGTATGACGAGAGCTCGGGGACACTGCAGTACGGGTTCACGAAACAGTTCCCGCTGGAGGATGCCGAGGATCTGCTCATGAAGACGTGGGGTATCTTTACCAATGCCCAAAAGTTCAAAGACCTGTCGTTTGACCGCTCGGTTCGATTTCGGTACCAAGTGCTGCAGCGAATGAACGACGACTTGGTCATTATTCGAGGAGATCATCGGATGCCGAATATTGACGCGACGTTTGCGTCGGTGCAGATCCTATTCCGCATGCAGACGCCGATTGGCTTTACACTATGCATGCGCGCGATTCCGTCTCCTGAGATCCTACGAGCGCAGGACTCGCACGAGCACTTCTACAGTGCCTTTCACTGGTAGGCCACTATTTTGTTGCAATTATCGCGATGCCGTCTGACGTGTTGTGTTTTGTGCAGGACGCATTTTAATCATATGTACGACGAGTCCGGCAATCGGGCAGGCTGCGAGTTGATGTCTGCTGGTACCATCCCCGATCAAAGCCAGCTCAAATCCACCTACTGGCTTTTCGAGCTCGTGTGCTCGGCTCTGCGCTGGGAAAATGCTTGTGTTGCGCCTTTGTTTTTGAAACAGATGTGATCGACTGCAGGCTAGAGGTCACGACTTCGCAGTGGTACACTGTTTGTGGTTGTTGTGTAACGATGAACCGACCGTCATTGGCGTTTACTATCGTCCAGCGTGTTCGCCTTCTCTATTGATGTCCCATGACCAGAGACTGTCCGTCCGTGTCACGAGTGCTCCGTGTGGCAGTCCCGCTGTCGATCTCGTACAAAGAGTCCGCAGCTGTTTTGCCGAATGTGGAGGTGGCGATTGTCGTCAGGACGCAGAAGCAGGCGAAGGTGGTGTCGACAAGCCGAAGTGAGACCAAGACGCTACTGAACGATTTGCCAGAGCTAAAGCAGACTAGACGATAGGAAAGGGTCAAGACACAGGGTGCAAAATGTGTGGTGTTCAGTGTGCCGGAAGAAGACAAAACCGCCGGAGAAAGTTTGCGAGGAGGCGACTGAGGATCAAGCGAGAGACTTTTACACGGCAATACACGCAGCTTGTGGCACGAGCACTTGAAGCCGGATGTAGCGACAAAGACACTTTTCGATGTCGACCGCGTGGAGGTGTCGATTTTGCCAGAGCGATGACACGTATCGACGTACGGCAAAGGTGGCCGTGAACGGCGCTGTCAACAGCTACAACTAGATCATGAACCAGCAAGACAGCGTTTCGAGGTACCAAGATTCCCGCTGCGAGCTGGCAGCATGCTACAAGTTTGTGCAAGAACTGATTGGGACTGCTGATGCTTCGGCAACGCTGTCGTGAGTGGTTACCGATACGTACAACATTGCCTTTGCGGTGCACATGCCTTACATATAGGCGTCGACCATGCGCTTATGCTGTTGTGCAGACTGAAGATACGATCCTTACATCATCGGTGCTGTTACCAGTAGTTTCGTCGATGCAGATGTTGTTGCAGACCTTTGTTAATGTATGAGAGTGCAGAATAGCAGCAGGCCACATGCTTTGCGTGATCAATTTTGGCGACTCAGGTATAGGACGATAGGACCACTACGTGCTTGTTGAACGCAACTTCCTCATGCTAAGTAAACGAGACACTAGTTCTACGATGTATTGAATCGACATGTACCAGTCGTGTGCTGTGAAGTTTCGTGACGCATATGGGACTCTATCTGAGCTCGGACTGTGCTAAACAAAGACTCTATCTGACACGGACTTTATCTGACACGGACCCTGTGCATACTTTGGACTAAGATGAGTGGGCCTATGTCAGACCCTATTCATTCTCAACAGCTACCTGCCATTGACGCGGTGACGCGACAATTACTACTACAGTAGTGCTAAAGCTCGCCCATCTTTGCGTAGACACTCTTAATTTGATAGATATGATTCGAGTAAGTTTTCGCTGTACGCCGATTGCTCATCCTTTTGACGAGTGCACAAATCTATTGCATGACACTGTGTCTGGCATCACGACTGGGACAGACCAAGTCGACCATCGTCTCGTTAATTCGCTGTGTTTGACCGCTGCAATTGCTTTGCAATGTCCAAACTCGTAGCAGCGAGTTGCTAGAAGGCGTGCAATCGCGCATAGACGATCGTGAACAGTGTCTTATCCTTCTCAGAGCTGACAAGTTGACTTGCGAGGGTCGAAGGATTCGGTAAAAGAAGCGATACCATCGACAGCGATGTGTGCGCATGTCAACCAGAGATTATGAACAAGAAGAAAGGAGGAACTGGGCCATGCTGGTCATGTCTTTGCATCGGCCAAGTAAAGTGAGCAGATAGTAAGCTGTAGTGCAGGACATTGCTCATTCACCGGAACGCGACGACAGAATCACAAATGCGATCGTTGTGCCCACTACAAAGTCAGGGGCAAGAAGCGCGTCAAAGCTCGTCTACATGGCTCAATGGAAGCAGCAACGTCACGAGAAGAGCAGACAGGATACATCTGCATTCGCCGACATCTCGCACGCACTGCGAGCAGACGGCCATGCTCACGAAGTACGAAACCTCGTTCCGCTGGTCATTTGGCGCTAGGGTCATGATATGCGCAGAGCACTGAAGGCTTGAGCTTATCGTGACTACCCATGCACTGAGAACACACAAGTGCAGCGCCTTTTCTATCATTTATCAATTGCTAAGCTGATGTGCGCTTGCTGTACAACTTGCGTACGGAGTGCATCATCGTCTTTGTGATCGTGCAAGACGTAAGATGTCACTGACCCTGTAGCGATGACCATCGAAGCCATCCCGTGGCGCGATCAACACGTTGCCACATCACGCGGTCACAATCTATTGCATCACGCGGTCACAATCTATTGCATCACGCGGTCACAATCTATTCCTTCGCAGCCGTTCACTTGCCGTGCCGTAATCCATGACAATAGACAGAGACACAAAAATCCAGTCGTCTGCAGGATACTCGCAGGTGCTGCGAATACAGCAGAGCCCCTCTTATCTAATACGATTAAGCAGATGAAACAATATGAAGTAGTAGAGGACATTATGTAGAACGGGCTGGGTAGGCACAGGATCTACCTCGCTTGCCCAATGTCAGGCGGTGAACTTTGAAAACTACAAGAGATTATTAGCTAACGCGGGATTAGCTACCAGGGGTTCTACTGTAAAATACATATATACATACATGTAACCCTCCGAACGACCAGCTCCTGCCCACCGGTATGACCATTCGTAGACCCACTCCGTCCTCATTGGCTTGAAGACAAGTCGTTTTTGCACAACCCATTGTACCAACTGACTCCTTCTTCTGGATTTTTGAGCCAGGGCACTCGGAGCTCGTCATTTACCAATTTCGACTCTCCGCCACAAGCAAAACAAGTAACGCGAGCGAAACAGGTGCAGTGTCTCCCAATCAGTGCCATGGAAGAGTGCGACATGCTCGAGTGCTGCTTGTGCGGGGCACTGTGCGGCGCTTGCTGCGCTGGGGCAGCGGACTCGGGCGGTGGCCGTCGCCGCAACAGCCGCTACTCGGACGAATACCGCAACGGACAGCCCGTGTACGTGCAGCCTGTTGCAGTGCAGCACCAGTCCGGCTATGCTTACCCGTCAGAGTACGCTTCGCCTCTACGCCAGCACGCTTCTCACCAAGATTACGCTTCGCAGCAGCCGTACCCATTAGCGCAGCCGTACCCATTGGCGCAGCCGTACCCAGCAGCGCAGCCGTACCCATCCGAGCAGCCGCATCCATCCCAGCAGCCGCACCCATCTCAGAAGTCGTAATCATCACTGCCGGAGAAAACGCATCATGTTTTGGATATGCTGTGGGGTCTTCACTTCCGATGGAATCAAGAGAGACTGAAGCAGTGGCGGTTTTGCAGCTGTTGTATGGTTCACGAAAGTGTATCTGTTGACGGAGGAGAAGTACAGTGCGTGGTTAACTGCAGCGTCGAAGTCGATGCTTCGATACAATCGGAAGGAACTTTTGGTGGCAATTGACTGCTAATTACTGGCGTTGTCTACAGCTTTTATCCCGCTTAATGCTGCTTTGCTAACGTGTAAATTGATCGGCGACTCTTGTGAAGAGTGTCGACCTTGCCCTGAGTGGTTGATCCCATTACTTTACGTCGCTTCAAATTAGTATCGTACTGCTTGTTTTCAGTGTTTGCATGTCAACGCGGTAGTTTTTCCTTCGGTTTCACTCTAGTATAAACGCTTTTACAGCCAATCAGTCTAATCACGCCTCCTCTGTTTATACGTCTCACGTAAACGTTATTGTACCCTACTTGTATTCGAGTACGTACAGATTGATATGGAAATAGTAAAACCCGTATCCGTACCATTGTATCCAGCTTGTAATGAATGTAGTGAATAAGAGTGTGGCCAAATTGCGTAAGCAACAACGTCTCGAGGATAATATGCCAGTGCACGATGCTTGCTAGCATTGTGATGACATGGTGTCTCGTGACGACGAATCGATTGGAATCAGCGTCAAGCATCTCATTTGCTCTTTACCTTCATCTCCAATCGATGGATGGGACACCATCCCGCCCTATAGCACTTAGACTAGCATGGGGTGAACCCGCAACTCACTCTCTCCAATAAGAATAACACGACTATTTTCCATTACGCCTCCCTTGGAGCAAACACGTTGAACTCTGACTAACCTGTACGCACACCGACCATCTCGGAAACCTGACGAAGTGACTTATAACCATGTGGCTTGTGACAGCAATAGCGGAGTTTCGTCACCACGAACTGGTTCCACCTCCCCTTTTCTGCTGCACTCGTTCTCATACACGTTAATAGCGCAGCTCAATGTGCCATGTTCTTCTGCTGTCGATTGCGCATTGTTGCCACCACGAAGACACAAAATGCATGACGATACCGCATTGTCGGGGTAAAGTGTGTAAACACCTCTGAGATGATATTCCATTCAGCCGTAGTTTCCATCATAGCGTCATGCGCAGCAATGTACTCGGACTTTGCCATCGAATAAACAACGATTAAATGACGTTAAGAGGCCCACGCTACTGCGACCGCCTGCCAACTTCAACAAACTAAGTGCTCTTTCGATGCTTCGGATCAGGGGCCCAGTCGCTGTCGCGAAATCCATTCACGATGATGCCACATTGTGAGGGTCGCTATCGTGCATTTGATGATGACATTATGCGTTTGAGATCTTGCCAGTGTCTTGGACATGGATCCGCTGCTGTATGGTGATTATGAGACTTGGTAGCTGCATCGACGCATGAATGAAAGCCCAATATCGGGCTCCTCAGTTTATGCAATGCGCTACAGAATGGGGTCACACACTTCATGTACTCGTCGTGCTGCCAACAATCTTCACACGTACTTTCCTTAGCTTCAAACCTACAGTACGGACAGGAATGATATAGCCACCTATAGTCTTACAATGTTGAATCAAGTACTCCGAGTTTTAGAGAAACAAATTGTACCAACATGTAGCCCTCAAAACGCGGAGCATGACGATTCTTTTTCTTAAAGTTCCGACTGTTTGATCAAAAGTTATGATCCTGAATGTGTAAAGTTTACGATAACAATGAAGTAGCCACCAAAAAGAAAAACGGATTATCCTCTCGACCTTAGCGTTGCTAGGAGTCCCTCATAGTCAACCTTGTTACTACGGTTTTTAAGCCCTTCCACGCACCGATTGTGCATCATATGGGCAAGCTTTGGAGGTAAGCGGCGCCAATTTCTCTCCAGCACTTTAAAATGCACTCGATCAGCTCAGTTCGCGACCAAAACGGCCGCCCATTCTTATATACGGCCCTGGCAAGCACTTCCAATAAGTTTTCAATCGGGTTTGAGTCCGGCAAATTCTCTGGCCAACCGAAAACAGAAAAAGTCTGGTCCGCATACCACGCCTTCGTATACCGAGATTAGTGTATCGACGCGTTATCCTGCTGATAGTCCGTCCATTCACGCTTAAGGCGCTTAGTTTTCCAGTGTACTTCCGTACTTTTCGCCGTTTTGTTTC